AGCCTGGCTGGAAGGCAAAAAAGATTTAGTTCTTATTGGGTAATAAAACAAGTATATTCACTATGTGCAATGATATGATTGATAAGGTAGCAAACCTTGTATGTCGTGGCCTCACTGAACTAGGCCTGCTTGGTTCTGTGGTAGTATCTTGAACACAGATTAAGAAACATGTTGTACTGACCCAGAAAACCGAATCTTCGGTAAAAATATAGTACACTTCTGTCCATTGAGAAACCCTCAGACAAGGGAAGCGAAAAAAAAAAAACAGGACAAACACAACAGCATTATATGATGGTACATTGTTGTGCTTGTCCTGTTTCTTCAATTTACTTGCATAGAGGTTTCTCAGTGTGACCGTTCACCAGCTTGCCTGTGCCCGAACTCTTATTACCGTTATGCCCTGTTTATCCAAATAATTTAGTCCCTCGTCGAGACCATTTGGATATAGAGCTATTTGATTAGTCAAGCTAGACTGAAATTTTAATACCGTGCTCCCAAACCAGTGGTTTGTTTAACAGGATGCCAAGGTGCAACATGACTAGTTAAATGAACCAGACCAGTATCTGTTATGAACTCACCAAATGAAAGAACTAGGTCTACTGATCTGGGCCTAGCAGCGTCCGATGTTGGGGGAGTGCCTGGAAAACTGAAATTTTTATTAGGAAACATACTACATATGAAACACTTTTTTTTTGTTTTAGTGTGGTAGTTTGGGTTTTAATGGAAAGGTGACATAATTTATATTGGAAAGATAAAGTAAAACCCTCTCTGACTAAGCTAGGGCCCAGGAATGGAATTAGTATAATGACAGAGCATAAAAATTATGAGATATTCATTAATAAAGGAATGCTAGTGCCTTGCCGAGCCTCCTGTAAACCTACCGGAAAGTGGCAGGCTGAAGGGCTCGCCATTAGGTACCTCTACAGGAACACCAATGTCGAACGCGCCTGGGATGCCCCCCCCCCCCCCCCCCAATCATGGCCTCCACATTCAGAAGTCCCACGACCCTTTCGTCCATGTCGTTCAGGGGCTTGTCTCCTACGCCGCCTCCAGTCGCACACTGACTGCGCTTGAGGGCTGCACCTGTAGTTAGTATCAAATAACATTGCACGGATCTCGTCAGAAAACCGAGATATACATCGCGCGACTAATCAGCTGCTCTTGGATTTTCTTCGCGTAACAGACTGCCACTGTACTGTTCGTGAGTTCGAATGTTGGTTCAAACCGGTGACATCTAACTGCGCATTATCTCGTGCACGACACTGGTATGAGCGAAATTCAAACGATTGCACATTTCATTACACGCTTGGGCTGAAGTCCTATGATGCTGACAGAAGACGATAACCTTCTGCGGCATTTGGGAGCATAGCTCTCGTCGCCCTTCGGCAACTTCACATCTTCAAGACTGCCACCAAAGCTAATAAAAACTTACTTGAAGGAGTAAAATGTGCTCGCTCGTAGGCTCACCATTCGCGCCAAACGTTTCGCGTTACGACGCATATCGCAACAACTTAGTTCGCGAACTGTGAAAATGGGCTATCTTACCTCGCTTCTTCTGGGAACTGTTGTAGTCAGCCCATTTTCTTTTTTTTCTTTTTTACATCGGCAATCTCTCTTTTCACCCCACACACAGCAAACAAGTCATTCGTAATCCTCTACCAAGCCCGCTGCTTGGCGGCCGATCCATGGGGCCCCTCTCCTTTCGCGTCGATCGCGATTCTATGCGCTTCATACCCATCAACTAAGGTCGATAATTCGACCTCTGAAAAGTTCCGCATCCGAGCCTTCTTGTCGGCGGGCGGTGTCGACATTTCCCGGTGTCTATCGGTTCGACCGGCGAGAACGAATGCACGTGGAAGACTAACGCATGTGTGCGGACAAAGCGTCCCCTGCGGTTGACATGGCAACGCATCCCTCTCGCAGCTCACGTTGGTCGCGAGACACCGGAAGTTTCTCTCTTTCCCTCACTTTTTTTGTCGTAGGATTTTGGTTCGTAACTAGCCCCTTTGAGAATACCAATTTCGGCATGTCGTAGGAACTTCTTGGGATACGAACTGCTTAGAAAAAATGTCTTAAGATAAAACGTTCTTCGTATACCCGGCCTCTGGTCGATTTGCTTCACGCATTGCTTGACGAGGAGCTTTGTGGAACGTGCATTCGAACGTGGGCAAAAATAGGCCACACGCACACGTTCTTTGATTAAGACTGAAAACTCGCACAACCATCACTATGGTGTGGTGAGCACGGTTGCAGATTTAAATTCAAAATGTCTTTATTGAGCCAAAAGATTACGGCGTAAGTTTGAAGAGCCTAAAATGGCTGCCCCTAGGCTGCCCTCTTCTACGACGCCGCGACGATGGATTCGCTGGTCTTGGACGAGCTTATAAATCTTGTACTGACGATGCTGATTCATAGGAAAGGTGATGATGAGAATAAGAATATAAGCGCCCTTGTTTCGCTTAAAGCGCTGGACCGATTTTAAAACAAGTACTGTCAAGCTGGTGTATGCTGGGACACACATGAGCCAAAAATGGCGGAGCATCACCGCCAATCCAGTTTGTCGCGGCGGCGCGGCGACGGCATCTACAGTGGACCAATAGGAGCGTGCTTGTAAACGGCGGCGCGTCAGTGGCAGCCAAAGCAGACCAATAGGAGCATGCGCGTCTGTCTGTGGGATGCACCATGAGCCGAAAATGGTGGCACGTCGCCGGCATCCAATAGGAACGCCCAGGGCACGGTCTAACAATGGCGGTACTTGGATAAGTCAAGACATCCAGCGCTTTAGCTTAGCTTAAAGCTTAGCTGGGTCTATGGCGCACGTTGCGAAGCGCGGAAGGGTTAGTATGATACGCTCCTCGATGCTTTTTTTTTTTTTTTTTTTAGTAAATGGTTGATAGTTAAGCAGTTTTGAGCATCCTTATACAGAAAAGGCAGTCACCTCACATGATCACAGCTTAGGCTGGCGGGCGGCGGGCCGCGGGGACAAATCGGAGAGGAGTTGTTTGGTGGCAAGCTAGGCAGCTTACGTTGGGCTTCACAGCACTGCCAGTTTGGCGAACGCTTCCCTGGCTCCATGACATGGAAACCACAGGTACTATTCGCTCTCTTCAATCCTCTTGCCACTGTTCAGACTGGCCAGGCATGTAAGTTTAAAATTTTTGGTGGCTCTGCTGCACGACTTGAGCAACGCAGTCTGACTCCTAAGTCGTTGGGCAGGCTCTGTCATAGAGCTGCATCACTCTGACGTATTTGACGAGGGTCTCGGCTGGCAGCTAGGCCCAGCACTCTGGTTGGCTGGACTCAATTGAGTCCAGCTAACCTCCACAGCTAACTCGTATTTGATCTTCTAAGCCCAACGGCAGCTAGGCCCAGCGCTCTAGTTAGCTCGACTTGAGACTGGTACGTAGCCGGAAGAAACTCGTTTTTGAGCTTTTGCCGGAACTCTTCACAGGCGAGGAACCGTGCCAGGATCAGCGGGCAGCGCGAGGTGTTTGCCTCGAAGGCTACGGGCAAAGCCTTCGCGAGGACGCAATCGTTCGAAGTTCCGCGGCGAGCTTATAGGTCGCCAGCTTGGCCAGGAAGTTTATAGTCCACGGACTTCCGTTCGTCCTAGCTCGTGTACGACGGGACTGGCACTTAAGGCAGTGGCCCTTGCCCTTGAGGTTCGTGGTCAGCCAGGACCAGGCGCTGCGCGATCGACCGTGTCGCAGAGGTTGGCGTCCCCGCCCATCAGGACCATGGTCATGGGCACCTCTTCAGCCGGGAACACATTTGCGAAAAAACGAACCGAAAATCGGAGAGAAATCGGAGGCTGCGAAAATCGTAGCTTGCGATTTTCGGAAGACGAGCCAGATGAGGTGGAATGCGCAGCGCGGAAATCGCAATGCACTGCGGTTTTTGTGCTCCGACTTCAGGAGGCTGTTCGGTAGTCTGGCGAACTGGCGTCCCATATTTCGCGCCTCTTAAGAACTTCAGCTATTAAAGCCTCGTTGTATGCCACGCGAGCCTTTGTACCACCACCCTTTGAGACAGAGACTGAACTGGTTTCTTCATAATAATAATAATAATAATCTTTATTTGCAAGAGTAATGTTGAGATAAGAACGCAGGGATGGCATACGATGTTGCCTGCGCTGCTTCCGAAGCTGCGTGAGCCACCATGTTGCGAGCCGATCGTATCTTTTCGTTCCGTCCTGTTCCGGGCTTTCGCTCACCGAGCTCCTCCGCCCCGAATTCGGAGGCGCCGTGCGAAAATATCTGGCACTGCAGATCTTTCGAACCGCTCCCGATTTTCGGAAAAGGGGAGGAGCCTAGCTGGCCGCTCGATTTTCGTGTGCGGTTTTCGCACAAAATTCGACTTTTTTTCGCAAATGTGTTCCCGGCTTTCGGCCTTGGCCTGCTCTGCGGCGGGTCTATAGGGGGTCTTCATCGCAGAAGCAGCCGCAGAAAAAGAAGCAACATACAAAAAGGGAAGAAAACCAAACAAAAGAGAACTGGGGTAATACAGAAAAGCAATATACTCGACGGCCAAGCCGAGAAAGAACATGGCAAAGATGGCGTCCGGTGGCCGAAATCTAGTCGAAAGGCCACGTTGGCCAATCGGGCGTGGCTAAAGCAAATCAGGAAAAGCAGGCCAAAAGGCCTAAACAGGCTAATCGTCTGCGGTCCAACCCGCGGGAGCGCACTAGGCCCTGCGATGAGCGCCAAATAATGTTGGAATCGGTGCAGATCGGCGCGGCAGGTACTAAAAAAAAAAAGAAAAGAAAAAAAAAGGAAAACCTTAATCGTTTTGAAGTTGCCCAACGAATGTTGGGCAACTTCAAAACGATTTCTTTTTATTTCTTTTTACGAACGGAGAGCAATACGTCAAAAGCAGCAGCAGTACTGCTGCTGCTTTTGACGATGTGTGTTTTCCGCTGGTTCTTCAGGGGTCGCCTTCATCTCTGTTGGTGACGAAACGCATGTTGTTTTGTGTGGTTTTAAGAAAAAACCTAACAAATATTTCTCACAGATTCTTTTTTTATTTGCACATTTCCAAGCGTTCATTTTTTTTTTTTTTTTTGTCAATCAAGAAGTTATAATATAGAGCTTGTGGGGCACGTTTTCTACTTTAAACGTTTACGCTGTGACATAGCTACGCATTAGTCGCATCATCTCCCTGTAGAGTGCCGAAGTAGCCCTAATACCCCAGGCAAAGTCCAGGTGAGTGAAGTCTTCGTCGGACACTCGGTTGAAGGCAACCACATGTTTTAGGTTCCATCGAAGACGCTCAACGTCCTTTTCATCCGCCCACCAATCACCCTTGCTCCAATAAAGTGCCACAGGAATCGTTACCTTTGATAGATCATACCGCGGAGGGGTTACCTGCAAAATTCAGATGTTAGTAAGCAAGCTGTGGACGATATTTATTTAATCATTAAATTAATAGCCTGTTTTTGTCAAACAAAAATGAATGTTTGTCATGTCGAGTATATGCATGGGCTTTTCTTCTACTGAGCTAATTTTCTAATGAAGCAAGATTTTCGAATAAATAGTTTTAGGAGAATATGCCCACGACGACTGTACAAAACATGTAGGAAGAAGATAAAAGCAGTGAATATTAGCGAATATATTATTCATGCTCAGAACACTTACAATAACGAATAGATGGACACGCAGAAGGGGACAGACACGTCACACGCGTTTGTCTGTGTCCCGTTCCTCGTGCCAGTCTCTGTTTCCGCTAAAAAAAGGGTTCCTAAGCATCGCGAACCAAGTAGCCCAACAGTATTTTCATATGCATAATGCGACTAAATAATTTTATTTCGAATTATATCATCGCCTTCAATATTTGTTCTAAAGCTGAAGGACAATATAGGGATACAACACTTCTGCTCTATCTGAAAAGTTGCTCGCAATAGCGCCAAAAAAGCCAAAGCCCTGCTCTGCTGCTCGTTCTGTTTGCACGAGAAGTCGTTCACGTAAAGCACTTTGTGGAGGTATAGTCTATACTGTATTTCAAGTTAGGTTAGATTACAGCCGACGCTAGGGGGGGGGGGGGGCGCTCACAGATTTCTGTTTACTCTTTTTTGTTTCGCCAAAAACTCAGTGGCACCATGTATGCGGTAGTTCTCGCACACTTCCGGTCCGAAAATATTAAAATTTTGCGAAGAATTCTGTCACCCTAATAGTAAATTTTGAGTAAGAGCGGCTTGATAATTTTCCGAAAATAACGCGCAGATTTCATCTCGCGAATAGTGTGAAACCCGCCGTCTAGTTTTATATTTGATTTCGCAAAAACTTCGAAACCCGCTGTTGCCACCGCGTTTCAACTAACGCGAGAAAGCGCGAATAGTTGGGGAGTTTACATTCTTTTGAACATGCCGTCTTCCAGCCATGACCAGAATTGTGGCAACGAAACGTTTTTCCGCCACATGCTGTTACTAATTCGTGACCCACTTATGATATGTCCCTCCCTGCCTGCTGGGACGCTTCATAACAATAAAAGGGTAACTAGCTAACGTAGGCTACTTCAGCTCTTTCCATGGAATTAGTTGCTCACACTTCCCTATTTGAGATCTTCAAAAATATTACCGTCGTACATTTGCTTTTCTTGCATAGAAATTACCTTTTTGTATTACCACCAGTCGCAAAATTAAACACCGCAGAAAGCGCCCGCCGTGCAGGAACAGGGAACTGGTGCTCTAAATCGTCTTGCTTTTTTTAAATTTTTGTTTGTTATGAAAGCAAGTTTAGACTGAAAAAAAACGTATTCGTAAGTTTTGGTATTAGATATCGATAAAACGTGAGCGGTCTCTGAATTCACCGATCGGTTACAGGCGTAACGGAACACCGATGAACGAGACATGCTTTTATAATGCTTCTTGTACCCTAGATATCAAGTGGGCCTGCTAACAGTAGATTGGCGAAACGAAAACGAATCGCCATCTTTTGTCACCGCGAAGTCGGCTCTTTACAGCGGTGTTTTGCGGGCACAAGCTTCATCCACCCGTCAAGCTATCTCAGTAAGAACGACTCTGATGGGACAAAAGAAGCAGCGCGAAAATAGCGGCGTCACGGCGTTTGCCATCCTTATGGGCTTGTGGGACCATTGGCTAGCCAGTTCAGCGCAGTAACTGCGTCATGGCCTTGCGTTGCTAGTGCGAGTGTCCGCGTTTGTATACATCCTAGCCATGGACAGCTCTCTGTTCTTTGGTGAAACGACGTATATAGAACCAATGCGTTTTCGCAGCGGGGCACGGAATACTTGAATGAAGGTATCTACTTTAAAAATAATCGTGTCTTTTTGTGTTTTACGCACACATATTTACCTAAGGGTGAAGTCGTGTATAGCCATGCACATTTGTATTTTGAATCTATTTCACCGAGAGAAAATTAACCGGACAACTGCATAGTGTCTTCAATTATACGTTGCAAATGTGGGAGGGTTGTTTTAATTGTGCGACAGTTAGCTGCGTGTGCGCTGTATTTAAAAATATATACTGAACCATAGGAACACTATGGCATGCTGTTATTAGATTTGGGGTACCAGGGCTATAAAATAAACGCGTAAAAACACCTAAACGCGATTTTAAAAAATACAAATACCAGACTCCTATCCCAATCATTTCGAAAACAGTAACTTGCTAATAACAGTTACTTTCTACTTTTTCGCAACGGGTATATTTGCCGCATTTCTCACACCGTACTGCGCATCCTGTGCATTCCCAACATCACTCATAAGAAAAGTTGATGAAAGAGGAGCTCTGAAGCTTAACCGATCTGTAGCATTAGTTTCCCCTTACGTCGTTACAATGTTTCACAATCCTTACATAACACGCGCACTGATAACAGTGCACATACAAGAAACCAACAGGTGTACATGACTCCCATTTTTTTTAATGCCTGCCCTGTTTACCTGGCCACGTTTCTGATCTCCAGTCGATTTTTTCACGAAATCGCAATAAAATGATTACTTTGGTTTGACACAGTACATAGCACAAAGAGATTTGGCACGACAGCTGTACGGTATACTTGCGACTAATACTTACGTGTGAGTGTTAATCTATCGAGATTTGGGAGAAGGCATGTATTTATATTTGTTTCCTCTGTAATATTTTTGAAGCATCCTAATCAGTGCTCATACCTGTCCATATACTTGCATGTTCAGGGATTTCCCGTAATCAAACTTCTGAAAGCATCCACATTTTGCATTCTGTAAAGCAAAGGTGAACAATAAGATTGTGATGACTTTTCAAAAAGAAGGAAGCACAGATTTAGACTAGATCACCTAATGTACATTACTACAATATACCCACAACCTTCAGTTTCACCACGTGCTTAGAAGATATCCTCGCAATCGTTAGAACCTAATCAGGGAAATCAAACTTACGGTACTGCGCCTTGCAATTCATGGCTAAGAGGAGCTGCACTAGCACCGTGAATCCCGCTTAGAGTCATGCGAATAATTAATTTAGCGACCAGTTATGATAACTTAATAAAATAAAGGCATCATTCGGCCGTCGCCAGTATTCTACAATTAGCTCAAGAGGAGTCAGCAGTCATTCATTTCGAATTACAAGTCCCTTGACCCTCCTATGGGAAACATGCCCGGAAACAGTCAGTTTAAGAGCCTAGTGCGCCACATTCAAGAGAATATATGCAGAGTGCTTATATGGACAAGTTTTTATTATGTTTATTTCAAAATACTATCGGTCCCTACATCGGACTATGATAGGGAGGGCATGAACAAAAAACTTCATAAAAGTGCAAAATAATATAAGATAAATGCCACTATATACATTTAGGCTATCCCCTCACCCGACTCTGCTATAGGTTTGAGCACTGTATCAGAAATAAAAAAAGCTGAAGCCTCCGTATCTCTATTTCTTAACCCCACTGAAGTGTTGTTGAAGCGGTTGTTATTTTCCAGCATGAAAAAAAAAAAAAAAAAAATGACGCCGCCGTTGTTTTGCACCTGCCTTACTAAGCGTTCCTCGGTGAACTTTTGATGCTCCAAGAATTGTTAATACTAGTATTACTGTAAATGATTTCGGAATTCTGGAATAATTTGACTACTTTTAGGGTTTGTTGTAATTGCAGTCACCTAAAATATTTCGTATTTTCGTATGTTGAAATTTATTTGTAAACTGACAAGAAAGACTGGTTTTACATGATGTGATTACAACTTAAAGTAATACTTTATTTTATAACTTTAGAACAAAAGAAGGACGGAAAGAAAAAACGTGGTTTTGGCGAGATATGCTTACCTGCGCCAGCCCGTACAGGTTGTTCACCGAAGTTCCAGAAGGTGTGTGACTCAGATACACTGGCAGTCGACTCTTCAATCACAGAGAGCACATTAGAGTTAGCAATGGCACACCGATTTTAATAATGTTTAACTTCTTTCAAAATGAGGTGTGGGACAATCTAAGCAATATTACACTGAAAAAAGGTGTGGCAGCGTAATGTAAAACTCTAGATGATGCCTTATATTTGATTTAAATGCTAAAAACCATATTTGTATGTACACTTATTGTGATGTACTGAAAATACCCCCACGTACATGTTTCGTTACTCCAGTGTAGTTATTCATTGGTGTATGAATAATTAACTCTCTGAATGTTGGCTCAGAGATGCGTTTTTCTGAACAGCCGCAGCATGCTTCCCCTAATGCTAAAAGTTGCAAAGGCGACAAATTTTAAATAGTTAATCATCTATTTTCGTCGTCTAAATTGCACGCTAATGTCAGAACTGTTGGAGTTTTATATCCTTTGCAAACATTAGCGCATGTTACTTAAGAGATAAGCAGCGGCACGAATCTTGGAAAGGAAAGAAAAGTTTAGGTCTGGAGTGAAATGCAAAGGCAGTTCTGATTATTACGTATTTTGAACTATTTTTATAGCATGGATTATTTCCTAAAGAACCTTTGCTACGCAGGTGTTGTACTAGAAGCACATGTCTGATAAAACTCTTTGAACCACTCTGTCTGAGGCATAAGTGATTAAATATCTATTGAGAATGAGGTTGTTACGAGTGGGTTATTAAAGAAACACTAAGTGTGATTTAACATCTAAGAGCTGGACATCATTTTGCGCTCAAGTCAACAGTAAAAGGGATTTTCACTCTAAAAAAACGCCCGTGAATCTACCTTCCCGCACAGCACTCGGAGAGCCAATCACCGCAACTTACAGAGGCAGCTCAGCGAATAACGATGCCGAAACATGTTTAGACCAAAAAACGCAGACTGAGTTGTGACATTAAGCAATGCAAGCTCTGACGCTTGCATTGCTTAACTGCAAGGGTAACTGCAAAGAAAAAAAAGTTTTTTTTTTTTTAAACAGCCTAATTGGGACAAGCATGTCACAAAACAAATGTTCCGCGAAAAAAAATTATTTTTTTTTTATCAATATTTACGCCACAGGACGTAATTTAGTAGAGTCAGAACTTCTCCACATTTGAAACTCCCGCTCTTTGACCCCCGCGGAAGAGGAGTACGCCCCGCCCCTCACTCTCCTTGCGTTGCGGAGTTGAACGACGCAGCGTCTCGACTTCCGGCAAGATCTGGCAACTACGCCAGGCCGCGGTATCGGCCGTATCGGCGGTATTGTTTTAGTTTGACGCGGTTTGCGAGCACATGTAGCGAAGACGTGGCCGGGAGAAGTGCCCCTGTGATGTTCCCGGAAGACGGAAAGTATCGTTCGTAATCGTCGTGCGCGCTTTGAAAGCGAAGCGAGTCACAGAATCCACGAGTGCGCAACCACAAGCAGAGGTTCACGACAGCGCTGCGTTGGTTTCGGCGATCTCTTTCTGTTTGGTGCAACACGGCGATGCGACAGAGCTGAAACGTTCGTGGTGTGTGTAATGCGGTGCTATGTGTTTTATGCGGGGTTGACGTACAAGGGGTCCAGTAAAACTGGCCCTTGAGGACGCAGCGAGCGTTTTTAAAAGTAAATCTTCCTCCGTTCTGTTTCAAAATGTGGAAGATTCCGGACACATACCGCGAGTAAAAAGCTGCGGGCGTTTTCAAATAAATTACGTCGTTTTAATTGAACAATGGACGCCGAATTGTTCTCCTAAATCTGCCGTTTTTATGCTTCGTGTTGTTGGACTGTGTTTGCACAGCGACGTGTTGCGCTCGTCGTGCGGTGTGAAGAAATTTGGGCAAGATTTCGTACCTGTCTACAGATGCATGAACTGAGACCACTTTTTACGTAGTGAACATGGTTTTTTTTTTTTATTTTTTATTTTGTGTCTAGTTGTGGACGTTAGGTGCACCCGGTGCGAATCTCGATGGCCTCCGGAGCGATATGACGAGAACGTAACTGGACACGTTTGTCGCTACGCGAACGCCCGATGGCCTCCAGCCAAATAGCATTCCTTTCAGGGCGACATGGATGCTGGAAGGCTCACTGTCGGGATCACGCATCTGACATCTCCGAAAAGTCAGCATTTGCATGCGCAAACAAGCAAAAAAAAAACAAAAAAACACGCTAAGCAAGCAAAGAGGAAGACGAAAGAACCGCGCTATGAAAGCCAAAACCCCGCGTCGCTTCCTATCACTAACACCTGCGACAGCTGCTAAACACACACTACTTCACTTCAAAAAGTCTCACTCAAGCACCTGGGTCAGCACGAAACACTCATCACTTCAGCGAAACGATTAGTCGAGGTAGGCGAGACAGGCGGGAGCAGAGACTTCGGCGGCCATGAAAGAATGGCGAAGCTTTTGTTTGTATGAATCCAAACGGAAGTGCCCGTCTTGTAAACCTTTTGTAAAAAATAATAACTCTCATCACATGGGTTATTCTCTAAACGTAAAAATATGCCGCTCAAAAGGAAATTGCAACATATAACAAAGGTTTAACAACCAAGATCTAAGCTGTCAATCAAACTCTTAGACAATGAGAACCTATTGGGATTGACGTCACGTAACCACAACTTCGTGGCGCGCGATTTAAAACGGACGAAATAGCCGCAAACTAAAATGAGTCTCACGCAATAAATATTGCTGTAAAAAATGTTTTTTCTCGCGGAAAAATTGTTTTTTGACATGCTTGTCCCAATTAAGCTATTTAAAAAAAAAAACTTTTTTTCTTTGCAGTGACCCTTTAATGTCACAACTCAGTCTGCGTTTTTTGGCCTAAACATAAGTTTCGGCATCGTGATTCGCTGAGCTGCCTTCGTAAGTTGCGCTGATTGGCTCTCCGAGTGTTGTGCGTGAAAGTAAACGCGCAGACCTTTTTTAGAGTGTAGTGGGGTTTTGGTGCGAAAAAAAAAATGATATAAGTGGTAAGTATTAATACCAAGACGGTCTTCTTTCCTTGGGCCGCTTAGCAAAAACAAACCAATTGGCTCCAATACCAATGCAAAAAATAAAATATTTGTTTACAAAAAGGATGTTGTGAAATAAATATTTTTGTATTTTTTATACCGATTGTGTATATATTTCTTTACTTTCAAAACATTATATCTCTCTTAATTTCTTTTCTTTTTGGTTAGGCCAGAAAGAAGGGCCAGCGCGAAATGACAAGACGAGGCACTGATCTCTTACAGTTGATGTGAGTACTGTGCGTTTTGCGGCCCACACTGCGCGAAGGAACTCGCGCTCGGCGCCCGGCGCCCGGCCCGCAATGTGCGCGCGAATCACGAAATAGGCTCGGGCTCAGGCAGTACGTTCTCTGCAAAGATACAGTAATGGTGTGGGGTCTGAGTTCTGAATCGTTGGTCCTTCTTTCGGATGAGCAGTAGCACCAAACCCTGTAGTACTTACAGAGATAGAAAAAAATGCTTAAAACAACAATTGTTGCCTTGAATATAAGAAACACTGCGTTTCCCCACAATGCACTATTTTGAGTGCACCCTGTACCTTTTTCATGGCTGCTTTTGTTTTCGTCCAGTGTTAGTTGTGAATAACTGAAAGAACTTTGGCGTTTTTTTTATATTTTTTTGTGCTGTTCTTATAAAAGCTTGCACGCATCGATGCTGCGCTATATCATGTCATGCATGAAGCTAACTATCCTGTTCAGCTTCAATCACTGAAAAAATGTAATAGTGATCTCATAAAAAAGTGTAACAATGACATGGCCATCAATACGAAAAAAGAAAAACATTTCATAACATTTCACATGTCCAAACGTAATATGCTCTGCCACAAAACGAAAAAAAAAACGCCTCAGCAAATTTGTTTAAGAAAACTTCCCCAATGCGCAAAACTGGTCTAACGATCTACCGTTTGGATGCTAGAATCACGACCGCGGTGCCTGCAACTTGGAGGAGGCTTATTGCGGGGAAGGTGTCACTGAGTAATATTTCGGTTGAACCTCGAAATATGCCCAAGTGATCCGAACTAAGTCCAGTCCTTCGCTGGGGTGTGTCAGGTGCCTTTCTTTGGTTTCGGACGTAAGCCCGCAGTATTTTCATAACAATAATGTCTTATTATTAACACTGCGAGTTGGACCAGTTGGCACTTATGCATCGTGGTAAATACGCAAAAAAAAAAGAAGAAAAAAGCGGCAGAGAAAGAAGTATACCGGACGAGGCGCACCCGCAACTGAACTTTACTGAAGGAAACGCATAAAATAAGAATAAAACCGCACATGCGCCAGGATGATGAACTTTCATTGACCACCTGAAAGGCCTAATTTATGTTGGCCAGACGGGAAGGTGCAATAATGATAGAATCAAAAAACACTCCGCCGCCACCAGGCAATCCCGTCTGGACACTTAGCTGTACATAGTGATAGGTGTGAGTGTCACGCCGAGTTTAATACTACCAAGATTATGGGAAAATTCTAAACAAAATTGGAACGCAAGATACATGAAGCATTCATGATAAGGGCTCATGGCCCGTATGTGTGTATCAGTGCTCCCTCTGTTGCCCTATCCGAAAAGAAGCAGGCTTTTATCGATCACTCAACAGTGACGGCAAGCTCTCCAGGTGGTCAATGTAAGTCCATCATCTTTGCGCATGTGCCGTTTTATTCTTTTTTTTTTTAATCGTTCCTGCGGTAAAGTTTAGTTGCAAGTTACACCTTTTCTAGTCTACTTATTTCTTTGTCACTGTTTTATTCGCGTATTTACCTCCATGTATTTTTATTTGTGCGGGCCTACTGGTAGGTTAATGTACTTCCAATCCGGGTGATAATAAAGAAAAAAAAATCCGATTTACCTGACTGCAAGCACAAATTAAACCTCAAATACAAGTCGACTTAAATAAACATCCCCGGCATAAAAAAGAAAAAAAAAACGTTTTTTTATATTTATTTAAAGACAGCCCTTATTCAAATAAATACAAGAACCTGTCAGTGGTTTTAAAATAAAAATGGTGCAGTGGTCGCTCTTTATCCTCTTTGTTCATTAGGCTCTTGTACCCTTGGGTGTTTGTTTAATTATTACCCCTGATTGACGTGAAGTATGCCAAACATAACGACTTGAAATGTGCATGTTTACTTACCTTGTTCAATTCTTTAGAATCCACGTCGGCGATGAGGAACACGCCTGTTTCGCAAACCAGTCCGGTTAAAATGTTGCTGCAGAGGAGCTTCGCCAGTTCTTTTGTCACGGAGCTGCTAGGAAGAAGTGCTCCGTGTCCAATGAACTTTAGCATCGGCTGGAAAGCCATGGATATAAGATCCTCTTTAAGGTCTGTATTTCAAAGTGCGAGACACATTTCAAAAAGATAAAAAAATCGCGGACTTCGGAAATTAAGTGAAAATTGTTAAAATAGTTTTATCAATCAATCAATCAATCTTTTAATCAGTCAATGAATCAATATTTCTTTCAAGACGAGGAGGAACCCTCATTGGAAGGTTTCAAGCTATAAGAAGCAAAACACAATTGCCTGATAAGTTACGAATGGCCTATTCATTTTTTATCACCACATCATTTCATACTGTACATCCTTATACATTGGTTTGAAGGAAGTATGCGAGTTCGTAAGCTATGAAAAGGCTAACAAGCCGCAGTTCTTGTCTTACTCTATAGCTTCGGTTGCTTTAATAAATGGAAAGGTTTTAAAAACGTCTTCATAGAGGAGACTGTACAGGGTTAGCATAGCTTAAAACCAAGTGACTGTGCGAGTAAGGCAAAAAATGTAATGCGCAGAGCTGAACTACTTTAATTTGCGAAGTGACGTTTAGGTAGTGTATTTGAAGGCTACGCGATATTTACCAATAATGCGTGTTTCTTTGTTCAGCTAAAATGATTCCTTCGTGCCTCCTTATGAGAATAATTATTTGTTAAGCTAATATCTGATCACTGCAATGTTTGCTTATACTTTCTTTCGTGTGTCTGTTAACAGATATATTATTGTAGACCTGTCAAACACGTGAATCGAAATGGATATGTCTAATCTAGATTGTTGAAGATAGTAATTTAAAAAATCAGCCATTCTTTACTTCTTTTGTTATGCTGTTCGTCACCTTAATTTGACTGAAAACAGAACGCGTGCCATCCGCTTCCCGAGCAGTTTGAATTATTTAACACAAGTTGCACTTTAAAGACGATGTACACTTACCGCAAGTATATCTGCAAATGGCAGAAAAAGTCTTGCGGGTCCTCTGAAGTTTTCGAGGAACGCAATTGGCGCCATTGCAGTAAACAGAGTTATCTAGATTAAGAAAATTGGCAATATAGGTTATCCAAAGGTGCGAAATGAGACAAGAGACCGATCTCACCAGCTAGTTTGAGTACGCCACCGCTGCCGACATGCATCGTGGAAGCTGTAGCCTTTCTGCACGCGCGACAACCCTGCTGGAGGTCTGCGCGAGCAGAGCACGGGGCGGCATGAGCTCTCTCGTGAACTGGCGTCTGCCTCCTACGAACTACAGTTATGGCGGCGTCACGCATGCGTGGAACGTTTGGTGAGATCGGTCTATTCAGTATGTAGTAAAGTAGCTGGGAAAAAGTTGCAGCATTATTTGTTGCTGTGATTACTATCACCACTACCACTACTATTAATACAAATACTATATAAATATGTAAGTATTAGGATATTACCACGTAACGTAACAGCAGGTTAATATCAATATTTTGCCAAAATGCCATATACTTTTCTTATAAACGTATCAGATATAAAAATATGAAGGAGTGAAGTTCTTATACTGTAATGCAGTAAATGCAACAGAGACACTAGTTCTTATGGTCAAATGTATTAAACTAAATTTGAATAAAAATCTATCTGGATGACCTGGAACATGAAGCTGAAAGAAGTTTAACAACTGGAGCACATCCAGTGTTAAGATGACGAAATGTCAACCCTTGGTTGCATCTAAATTTAGATTTTTAAATTTATGCGAGTGGCCTGTTGAGTGGATATTATTTTTAATCATTTTGTTGGCTGCCAAACATAATTTAATGTAATACGGAAATGTTTCATGTAATGTGCAGAGAAATAAAGGCAGGAATTTAAAAGCTTGTTTACTCTGAAATGACGAGCCCCGAGTGCCTACTGTAGTATAAAAGAAAAAAAAAAAAGATATTTGAAGCTCATAAGGCACACTTAAAAATAAAAAAAAAACGATACATTAGTTAAATGGGTTTGGCACAAGCATGTCTTTATTTGTGAAAGTAACTTTGATAATATTCAAAAGTCACGCTCTTTTATTCCAACTCGAGAATACGGATAGAAATATGCACTGTAATAATTTGTAGTCATTATCCTCGCTTTTTTTTTTGTTGAGAATGTTAAATTATTATTGCCCAAAATATTATAAAAATATTATACCTTATCGTTGTATTCCGGTTTTTCAGAAAGCAGGCCAAACAAAACTTGTGTTCCTTGAGACCAGCCAATGTACTGCATCTTCTGCTGCCCTGATATTTTCAATACGGCGTTTATCATTGCTGGGATGTCATAGGAGATGATTTGGTCCGCGCTAAAGAAGAACGGTACGGTGAAGATATTTTCAATATCAGATGAGCTTTATACAGACTGGGGAAGTAATCCGTTACTTCTTCAAGTAATTTTGTAATTGCTACGTTACTTTTTTTCCCCGAAGTAATTTATAATGTAATTTCGTTACAAAATATTGGTAACGGATTACTTTAATTAGCCCTTACTTTATAAAAAAGTGAGCACAATACAGTAAATAAAGCAATATGAGCAGAACATTCAGGAGCATAAGGATGGCAAGTGCAACAAAATAGAAAACATCAGGAGGGGGAGAATAGCCGAAAAGAAAACACGATTGTTTGTACGACCAGTCACTAGAACCACTAGAAAACGGGCAAGTAACGTGCAAATATTCGAAAGAGGAGCATCAAGTAAGCAGTGGCGTCACGAGGGTCAGCGGCACTCGGGGCCATCGCCCGCCGCGACTCCACACCCCCTCCCCTTGTGACGCCACTGCGAGTAGCATAACGCCGAGTAGCCTCTCCGTCGCATTCCATCGTGTTTTCCAAGAAAGCTCCCGAGTCAAAAGGGAACTTTCGTGGATCGCAGCTTTACCTCCGAACCTCGTAGCGGACGTAGACGCAGCTACTGAGCATGCGCACTACTAGCTTTGTCTGCACAATTCTAGGGATCAGTTCCGGAGGCCGTAAGCAAGCGGGATGGCGGGTGTGGTTGCAGCTTTCGGTGCCTTGCCAGCTTACAGGTGAACGGAGTGCACATACACTCTTACTCTCAAATACAATGTTTTATTTTTACAAGGGCTACCATTCCACGGGCGTATGAGAAATGAAAAGTAGTGTTGCAGAACATTTTTGAAAAATATTAAAATTGTTTCTATTGTTTTCTGGATAAGTGTACGGGAAAAGTAACACAAAACTAATTTGTAACGTAACGAGTAAAGTAGTCCGTCACTTTTCAGCGCCAGTAATTAGGAACGGTAATCCATTATATTTGAGGCTCGGTAATTTGTAATTGTAATCCATCACATTTTTCAAGTAACGAGCACAAGTCTGGCTTTATATATTCGAAAATAACTCGTAAATGGTGTCACGGTGTAAATAGTGTAGCACTGTTTACCGGTTTCGATTCCACGTATACCTCTCTATTTTTGGGATGTCCTAAATGAGCAGATGTTTATGGTCCTATAGACCCCTTTCAACATCCACCAAAGTCTGGTGGTCGAAATAGGCAACCTTACTAAGGAAACACCCTAAAAACCCGGTCTCGGGTGTTCTCAATCTCGCTTGTATATTTTCAATGATTTCTTTATTTACTACTGTGTCCGAGAGTACGCAAAGTACGACCAAATTGGCTCACCTGAAACTCCAAAAAGGTTTATCGTCACGGCTCAGGCTCACATGGTTTGTGTAGGTGTTGCCTCGGTAATTTCCCAGCCACACGTCGAACCCGGCATCGGCAAGCAGGAAGGCTGCATTCGGTACATAATTTGAGAAACATTGGAGACTTTTAGCAAACCGTTACCGTGTTTCGCGTACCGGACTACTGGAGCCTTTGAAGCATGCTTTTAAGCGCGCGCCTCGCGGTCACGGTATCACACGGGCGCGCGCTTAAAAGCATGCTTCAAAGGCTCCGGTAATACGATACTCGAAACATGGTAACAATTTGATAAAAGTCTCTATTATTTAGGCTTCCCGCGTCAATATGAATAAAGTTATCTCGCCTCCTCCCAATCAAATAAACAAACAATTGACCGGTGTATCGAATTTGCAATGCTGCCGAATTCTTGGAATGGCAAGAGAAAGAGTGTAATTTTAGTTGTTTTCACGGGCCTTTTCATTGCTGCTTTTTATGGATATACTTAGTGTTTATTCCAAGAAATAAATAAAGCGATCGCTTTCTCAGTTGAATACGTCAAACTGATATAGCCAAAATTGACTTGGTACCTTTTGGTCAATTCAAAGCCACTATAGATGCAAACCATTTTCTGCGTAAAGACAAAGACAAGCCGATTGCTGGTTCCGACTTTCGCATAAATGACGCAGGCGTTTATGAAGCGAAGAGTGTCACGCTTTCAGTCTACATCGAGCATAAAATATAAAAGTTTGGATATCTACCATTATAGCTAGTGGATCTCAAAGGTTGATAATCTCTCAGTATAACTGAATGGGCTTTTCTTTTCAAGGAGAGTCGTCACTTGCTTCTGGAAAGCTCATAAATTGTCATAGAGGTTTTGGAGAGCGTATGTTTCCACATATTTTTCTCGTTTTTTAACGTTTTGCTTCAGCCTACATTTATGGAGTTTGTTTTGACATATTTGAAACCTATCATTTATTTTTGTTACTTTGTTCTTACAGCGTGCACTCTCACCTTTTTACAAGCCGCGCTTTTTTCTTCTGCTTAAAGATTTTTTTATAAGAATACACTAATATATATCTGTAGCACGACCATTCAAAGCAGATTTTTTTTATAGCTGTAGGACCACTGAGGTTTTATTAGCATCTGGGTATAATTTATCATACAGTGCTCCAGTGCACTTACAATAATTGTATTTTTCGCACTAAAGCACTAAATAGACGCAACAGACAGGAGTTTACGGAGTTTTCAAGAGCGCTTACCTAGGCTCTGTTTTTCGAAGTTCAGAACAAAATCTGCCGATGAGCCGAAGAGACCGTGCACGAGAAAGACGGGAACCTTGGCGGAAGAGTTATTGCGAAAGTCTTCATTTCGACCCCATGGAATTCGCTGGATGCTGAGGATATAGCCGTCGGTGGTGATCACGTTGTACTCTTCGACAGGGTATCCCTTGCTCCAGATTAGTTCCGACTTGAAAGATGATTTCAAAAATCCAAAAAGAAAATAAATTTCAAAAATATAAGCCTTGGGACAGCTTAGAGTAACTGGAGCTGCATCAAAATGAGTAACTGCCATTTAACGACTTAATTGTCAGTTTTCAATGTTTCAGCCTACAACAAAGACTACCTTTTCCTTTAGGGCAGCGTAACGCAATAAATATTGATAAAATAAAAAAAATTAATGTAACACGGCTAAGCGAAATTAGGAATTACAGCATTTGTTTAGCTGAAACGTGCAGCTATGGTGAAAAAGAACTTCTTGAAATACGTTTATTCATTCAGCATACATAATATGTAAATGTAATAAATGACGGTAAATCAGTAAACATTTGTCCAATTTACTGAGAATATAAATATAACAAGCAAATTGACTACTTACTACGTTCTTCGACACATCGGGATCAAATGAAAGAAGACTGCCTACACCAGTAGATATTACAGAAGCCAATAAAGTGAAAAGCACTTGTAATGTTTCACTCTTCATAATTGTGACGCCTTGTAGGGAAACAGTTCTTTCCGAGACACATTCGCTCCAAAACTTCCCTCTATTTCAGACTGCGGAAGAGACATGGGCCGTAATGTGTGGCACTGTCAGTGTTCGCATTTAATAGCTGCTTGCAAGAATCGAGCGTAGCCCTTGGTTTGTTGGAGTGGCAAACAGCCAATGTATGCTGAGAGGGATCAAAGTGGCCGCCTCTCCTGCTCTCCCGTGAAGTTGTCTTCGCTTGACTGCCTTCATACGTTGCATCTTTACTGCGTACAAAACAAGATAACGAGATCAGGAAGACTGTGCCCTTGGTAACCTGAAAGATACATGATATGACAAAAACAAATCTAACAGTAGAGGAACTGAGTGCACTATACATGCCGGTAAAGGTATATTTATGAAGCGAGTTGCCCATATGTTATCTATGTCCTTCGCTTTTACCTCTGCTTATGTCTATGTGTAAAGCCCACACCGACAATCATAAATTCCAAGAAAAGCCATAAAGTAATAATGCCCTTGTAGCATGAAGTCCTAAAAAACCGATCTTTGACCTTTTACTATTTACAAACCGCGTGCGTTCCTTGCTCCGGTTTGTGGTTTCCTGGTTCCTTGTTGAGAGAAGCACGCCCTGGGAAGAGTTAAAGACAGTCCCGCCCACAAATGTACCTTATCGCGTTTGCATTTTCAGGACACAAACAATACTTAGACCTACCTGACTGTAGACATGACAGTTTTGATCCTCATAGCTCTACGTTATCAAAGATTAAATTCCATTTAGTTAACAAAACCAAGATAGAGTCAGAGCTTAGCCAAATGTTAACGCTCTTTCGCTCTACGGTTCTGTGCCCCACACGACGTTCCACTAATCAATAGTGACAGATGGGCCAGTTGGTACATGATTACTTTTTCGCAAAATGCGCCGTAAGTGACACAACATGAAGTGCTTCGTGTTGTGTCACTTACTCTGTCCTTGTCTTTTCGCATTTCGTTCCACTAAGGCTATCAAGAAGGAGGGAGGGGGAGGGGGAAGGGGGCTGAACACCTCTTCTGTTACACAAGAGCTAAAAGGCTGGATAGCCTTATAAAACTCTCATGACGCCTAAACCAATGTTGTTAGGAACAGATAAAAACAAAGCAGATTGTCTAACTAAAGCATTTATATGATATTCAAGGGAGGAATTTTTATCGCCAATCCCGTCCCCTGTTTTTACGTATATAACTCTTTCTAAACCTACGGCTAACTTAGTTCTACATACTTAACAGCAGCTTATTAGATGTACAATTTAAAATAAAACTAAGGCTATCTTAAGCTCTCCAAGTGGAGGCGTGACGTCTCTTGCGCATTAAAGGTTAGGATAGGACGATATGTTGCGGTGTGTTTATTTTCATCTCTCGGATGAAGGATATTGCTCACCATTAAGCTAACGTTCTTGTTCATCCCTTATTTTGTTGTGGCATCATTGAATAGTAATATTTTAGTTGATTTCAAGAAGCGCGTGAAACTGTTTTCGACAAGAACCAAGCAGCAAGAGCACACGGTCGTAGCGAAAGGACCACTTTTGGAGCTTCTCGAGGCTGCTGCTACGGGGCGTGTTGATTTCACTGGGGTCGCGAGTACTCGGCAACTAGAGTATAACCAACACAGCAATATTTTATTCCTACCATCTAAATAAACAACGTTTCCAATAATTGCTTGCCAACAACTTTCTGAAGAGTGCAGACGAAATATGTGTACGCCCGTGCTCTCCTGCACCTCAAGCGGCAATTGTAGCTATGCACGCGCACGCTGTCCTTCATGTTGGCGAATAAAATTCAAAAAGATATGAATCGTGATTTATTTCGTAATTTATCAGTTACCAGTTTTACTAAATTATTATATTCCAAGCTTTACAAAAATATACCGCAAGTTTTATTTCTATTCGAAAATGTTAAAAAAAGGGGGCCTGAGTGTTAGACGACTGTCGTTTTTACCATGTATTTATCAGGCTTTGCGGACATTAAAGTAGGAAATAATCGTCATGTTAAGTTGACTAATTAGCTGAACATTGTTATTTAATTCGTTCATTACTAGTTTTGAGGGTCATGTAGGAATTGCTGTATTGAAGGAAATTGCAATTAAAGGCCAGATTAATTTAAAGGATTTCCGAAAACGTAATGGTTTCGCAGATATTAATCAATAAATCGGGGTTTTTCGCATGTTTTAAAAATTGCACGCAAAAAAGTGCATCAAGCCAGCACAACCTAGACTCAAAGGGCACACCGCTCTTCCTATGGCATCACACTATGGGACTGGCCGCCTTGCATCTCTATTTTTTACTCGTTCGGCAATGGCGGTAAAGACAATTGCTTTGAGCGTTCTGTCGAATTCGTTTCTCAGTTTGAAATGATTTCTGACACAATCAGGGGTGATTCGTCCGTAACATTTTGTGCTGTGATGTGTACTGTGGTGTGGAAGAAATGGGCAAGAAGCGTGGGCCCCTATACTCCGTTTGACCTTATGTTGTACCGCAGAGAAGGCTAGAAGCGCGAGCTCATAGCGTTGGGAGCTGCTCTTAACGCACGAGAGCTTGTGCCGCCGAGATGTGCCCTACAGTAGGAGCTTCTGCTTGTAGCTTTTTCTGCGGTAAATCATTAGATGAAACAGAGTATAGTTACCTTCACGGAAAGGAATTTGAGACTTTAGGATACAGTTTCGATGAGGCCCCGTTTGTTCGACTTGCGGACAGTAATATCTCTTGAGAAATTACCGTTTGCAGCTACGTTACTGTTTAGTTGTGTGTAACTTTGTTTGTGACGGTATTTCTACGTGTATTGTATAAATGACTAAACCCTAACTGATAGGGCTAGTGTTCGAATCTTGCTGAGCACGAGAGCTCACTAAGGGAAAGACGACGACGAACCCCTTCGAAACACGCAACGATTTGGACGTTCTAAGCTTTGTGCAGATATTAAACACCTTGTATCTCCGAGGCCTACGTATTCCATGAATATGACGACGTATTTGACGAAGGACGAACCGTCTGGGCGAGCAGGCTAGAGCTTACACAGCCGCTCGGATTTGTCGAGCCGTTTCGAGATGACGGGAGAAGCCGGACATATCGGCTGTCGTCACGCTATGTGGAGAGGAGGTAGTAGAGAGGTCTTTGTAATTCTAGGTGGTCACACCGTGCCCAAAATGACGGTTGAAAGAGAGTCGTAGTCGTTTAGGTAAAGTTGTCACGCGTCGTCGCAGCACCTATACAAAGACACGCTGCTGTGAACGTAACGACATTATTTAAATATCGACATCACTCTTCCAAGCATCATTGTTGGCAGGATTTTCGATGCTATTTTTAGCTCTATTTTTTTAATGGGGCAAAAAAAAAACGCGAAAGTGGATTGCTTAATATCAGAAAAACCATTACCTTTTCGCATATTCTTTATGGTGCTCTTGCCTCTAAAGCTGGGGTCACAGTGCTTATACATTTTACAAAACACACTCTGCAAACAGATTCCAACGCAAGTCACCACGAGATCCGTGCTTCGAATACCGCATGGGAACGAGTTCAAAGAGAAGCTTAGTGCAGGGCATTCGAACCACGTATATCGGTGACTAAAGTCGGTAGACAGTTTTTTCTTTGTGTGTGTGATGCATAAGCAGACTGACCCCGGCTTAAGTGTAATTGAAGTAACTGCTGCGATTCCTTCATGGCCTATTATACAAATGATTTAGATGTTAATAAAAATATTTGAAGTAATTAGTCTACTTACCCTGACGATTATCTTCCCATCTCAAGCCCTATGAGCTTGATAAAACAGGGTGAAGACAGAACTCGTCTATGACCACCTATTTCAAAAAAATGTGATCGAAATAAATTCAAACACTATAGAATATATTCTTGTTTACCGGTTGTCTCTCATCTACATGCATGGTATTTTGTAATCAATCTAATAATAATTTAGGAAGCAAGATTTGAATCGCACTGAACATGAGCAGGAAGGTGCTCATTTGAACGAATCCGAGTATTCAGCTGTTTTTCTACCTTCTCCTGGGTTTCTCAGTCATTTGGTGTCCAATTGCAAGCAATACAAGAAACAAAAAGTGTAACTAAAACCAAGCAAATTAAGGCCACGGTCCCACTGAATGTGGCAGTTTAGGTACTTTTTGGCAGGTCATTACTCATCTCCTTTTAAATACTGTTTTTTGGGATTGATGTTTTTCGAAACGCAATGCAATCCTTTTTCATTTGATGTTATGTATGTGTTGGTTTTTACTGTTCATGCGCGTTTGTAGCGTTGCGAATATGATGGCGCGGACCCTCACTTGCTCCGCTAGTTCATGTTTTATTAACGATCCCTTAAAGATAGCACGGTTCCAATATAGCAGTTTTGTTAAGATGATGTTGGAGCAGACTGCAACGATACACTTTCTTGGTATTTGCACTACTTCGTTTTTTTCATCCCTCCAAATATTGCCCTAAAATTGACATTTTTCAGCACAAATATGTTTTTAATGACAAGCGCTAGGGCAATGAAATTAGCTACAGATGTAGTTCTTATAATTGGTAATATGCAAAAAAAAATTTAATGTTGTGTAAAATTTTTTGGTTTAGATATTTTATATCAAACGTAACACTTTTTTGTGCTTCGAGTAATGGTAGTTCAAATGCCGCTGTGGAAATAATTAAACTATGATAAAAACTTTTATAACATTTAGGGGTACAATGGTTGCCCAAAAGGTGGCCGATGGCTTTTTTTCATTTTCAAAGTCATAACGCTCCAGGAGCCCTTCAAACTTACCTGTTTTTGACGCATCTCTTTTTTGGACATAAAACAGATTTATTGGCATCTAATAACATTTATTCTTTGGAATAGATATACATCGCCATGTATTAAATTTTCACAATGATCTTGCTTTGGTTTCTTAATAGGTGTAGAGCTTAGCTAATTTTAAAAAAATTAAAAACTGTTTGGGTGATTTGTTGCGCTAGCTGTCGGATGGCAGACAAACTGCTGATTTCTAGTGTTCAAGAAAGTTCCGAGGGCGGCGTTGGCATCTGTATCATCATCAATCTCCGTGTCTTTTTACCTTCACATTTAAAAAAAATATATTGGAAGATTTACTATCGATAAATGAATGGTTTAAGTACTGGGTCAGGTTAATAAATCGAAGACAAATAATTACACACGCGTAGCGTAATATAATGTGTTCATTATTCGATATGATTGAAATCAATAAACAATAAAGACGAAGAGGAAAATAATACACCCGAGTTCACTTCATGCCTAGAGTCATTAAATGAGCTTGAAAGTATCGGCACTTCGTTGCCCAAGATTGTTTTGCCCGTCGCCATTTTGGGTCTTGTTCAGAGCAAACGCAACTGCCGATCGTCATGATCCAAAAGTACGACTTCCTCAGCATTAGATGCGGTGCTAGGAAGCTGATGCAATATTGCAATGCTCTGTCGCGGGTTGTTTAAACATTTGTGGGGGACGGAAAAGCGTTTCCTGTGATTTTAGATAAAGCTTCAGGTAACTGGCGACCATGAATTTAAGCCACAATATGGCCAAGTGTCGTTACTCTGAACTGTAGCTAATTTACTGGCCCAACCGGGAACAATGAGGAAGAGGCAGTCGTCAAAATGTAGTGGCTTGTGGAATCCACGGGGCTTACGTCATGGCTCCGCCAGGTATTACAAGCCTTTTGAACAAGAGCGTGAATAGTGTCATTAAATATGCTACGCGTCAGAGTAGCGACACTTGGCCATATTGCGGCTTACAATCATGGTTGCCAGTTCTTTGAAGCTTTATCTGAAATCACAAGAAACGCTTTTCCGTCCTCCACTTTAAACAGTGTGCGACAAAGCAAAGCAACATTACCTGAGCTTCCTAACACCGAATCTAATACTGAGGATGTCGCACTTTTGGATCATGACGATCGGCAGTTGCGCCTGCTCTGCACAAGCACCAGAATGGCGGCGTTCACAACACTGTCGGGGAAGAGAGTGCCGATACTCTAAGCGCAGCTAATTTATTTGCTCTAGTTCCCGCGAAACTCATTTTTCCTGACTGAAACTGAAAGTAAATATGAATAATACACCATTATTATAGCTTATTTAATTATAACCAACTACACATAATGAGAGGAGGAAGCGGCCGGGTAGGAGAAACGCGGGCTTTATGTGCGACCGTTCTAACCGTCTCAAAAGAGAGAATGCGCGAGCTTGCGCTGGTTTAAAAAAAGGCATCCAAAGAAAAGAGGCGGCACGCTGTGCTCTTTGTTATTATGCGTCTAATTGCAAATTATTGTGTGTATGTTTATACAGCCGGAAGTTAGTCCGCCTTAGTGGGCGTCTGACTCTCAGCTGTATAGATGAGCAATTTAGCCAGTACGGTATAACCGCAAACCTGGGGTCTTTAACGTGCACCACGCAGTAGTGATACACGACCGCACGCCGGTACGATGCTCTTCCAGAGTCCAGACCGAAACGGGCAGGGGCGGGGTGGCTTCTGCAGCGATAGCTTTCGATCCAAGTGCTCCGAGCTGGTGTGCGCTAGACCATGCATTCGACCACCGACCCCCCCTTGTGCGTCTAATTTATATACAGGTACAAGTATTTGAAGATCGACGATGGACGTCGATCGTCTCGAGGTAATGTAACGTAATAAATTTATATGAATAATAAACTTCTTGAAGGACTGAACGACTCAATTTTTCAATTCTTGGATTGTAATACGGCGGTAGCCTATCGTAGTTACTGTTGATGAAGAGCAATATGAGGTGACGAGGTAATGATTAAATGACGAGACTCTATAAGGACGACGACATTAGTGGGTGTCGAACCACAACGCACAGTGCCAGACTTGTTTCAAGTATCGTGTACCCAAAGACCTTCTTCACCCGCAACAGAATATGGTAGAATCAATGAGGATGCTGCTTTACAACTGTACGTGGAACAGGAAAACTGCACTGTGCAGAAGTGCGGCTTATTCGTTAATAGGAGGGACGGATTTTTAGCATTATTTCCTGATTGACTGCTTGGAACAAATGGCCTCATTGACGTAAAGTGTCCCCGTTCCAAAAGATTCTTGAAGCATACTTAAACCGCAAAGGAGTATGAGGCGAAAAATAAGATAAAGGAGCCTGCTGTGAAAGGTCCAAATCACCACCATAGCTTCTACTATGAAATACAAGGGCAGTTACACAACACACAGAGAGTTTTGTGATTTAGTTATATTTACACTCAAAGGCATTGATATCCAACGTATTCAGAGAGATAACACCTTCTGGTCAACCAACATAGAGCCTTTTGTACTCAAGTTTTACATGGAAGGCCCGACTTCCGCTGAAATTCCTTACGTAAACGAGTTGTCCGACCGAATAAACTGCAATTACTCCCGATCTGGAAATCTCTCGGTCTTCGTTCGTAAGCCATAGTATCATGAGATCGAGGGGTGTGGCTCTTCGTCCGACGAATATTGCTTCGGCGGGTGTTTTTACCGTGTAAGATGAGACCGTCGCGTGCCGCTGGAACAACAACCTGGCGATTCTTCACTGAACTGCTTCTTCCGTAAGCTTCGAAAGGGCTTTTTTTTTTTTTTTTGTTTCGCACACCATCTGTTCTGCATGCCCGTTAGTTGCAGGATGGTATGGTGCACTAACGTGATGCCTGATGCCGTTTTTTTTTTCTTTAAAAACTTGTTTATTTTGTTTGAAGCAAGATTTGGCACGTTATCAGAGAAAAGTATTTTCGGTAGGGCAAAAGTAGGTAAAAGAGACTGTAGAACTTCAATGACGTGTTTGGACGTCGTAGCAGGCATCGTGTAAACTTCCAGCCACTTAGAGTACGCATCGCCTATGACTCCGCAGATGCGGATATGTTTCGACACCCACCGGTTGAATAGTGGATCGTTTTCAGTTACTGTGCATGATGGCGTTGGACTCAAGAAAGGCTTCGAGTCTTTCCAGGAAGTTAGCCCAGGTGCCAGGACTTTTGTCGAAAGCGGTAAGTGTTCGAAACGTCGACAACGTCGGTAGCCACGTGTTGTGCTTGACACTGGACACTTACCATTCGCTGAGAAGAAACTCGCTTGTTCGTCTGGCACGAGTCGTCCGATATCAGGTCACCACCGCAACACCATCTCCCGACAAAAACGCATGTCCATAGTTAGCAATCACGTGAACTTATAAATTCCCGAACGCTCATAACTTGCCGTCGCTAAACGCCGTTCATTCATAGCGTCATCATTGCAAATAAACGTCTTCCTATTTCTTCTGATGGTTTTCATCATATTCCTCCTAAGCTGTACTTACAACATTATGTGTGTCGGTACTTCCGAAGATATTGCAACGGCGTTTGTTTTCTGGGAACCCCTCCCCTATAATGTAACAACCTTTACAACATCTTCCGGACCCCGTGAAACACAATATTTCGTGACGTTATTTTAGTCGTCATTAAAATGGTGAGGTGAGTACCGTAAATCGCGAAGCAGTTTACTTGACGTCCGCTTCCACTGGTGTCTTGGAAGATTAAGTCTACTGAGCGTGCATTCCTGCAGAAGAAATTTTAATTGATAGAATATGAACACGTCAATCAACATTTGATTCCTTCTTGGTAATATTTATTGCGAAAGCCCGTTACAACCACCGTAACTGTAACTGTAAAGGTACCTTTACAGTCGTGTGAATACATCCGTTTGCTGGGCCACGCTACTTGAGCCAGCTGAGCACAGCTGGCAGCGGCGCGAGCAAGGCCACGAGGGGAACGTGATGGCGTTCGAGCCATCCCACTGTGAACCAATGTTTCGGCCACCCCACGGGTGCGTGTCGCCATCTATTGGTTGAACTAACGCCTTGTTCAAGATGGCTGCCGTGGGACCGCAGCCTTAAGTGCCTATGCTCGTCCACTCAAATTCAGACTGGCATGAACACAGACAGAGTTTGTCAGAGACTACTAAGCATACGTCAGCTTCATCTTGCATCGACTAGTTTTGCCCTTTTCCCTTACATATTCGTCCCGCCTGATTTATAAACCACTTCTTTCCGCACTTGAAAATTAAAAAAAAGCTATAAGAGCAGATTTACAAACTTTGCTCAAGTTCAAATGCCACAATTCATTGTTCTAGACTTTCTATTGTTTTGCACTTCTGTTGCGACAAAGAGACTGGTCATATTTTGCCTATACACTCTAAAAAAAGTCTGTGCGTCTACTTTCACGCACAACACTCGGAGAGCCAATCAGCGCAACTTACGGAGGCAGCTCAGCAATGATGATGCCGAAACATATGTTTAGACCAAAAAACGCAGTCTAAGTTGTGGCATTAAGCAATGCAAAACGTCACGCTTGCATCGCTTAGGTCGGTTAGGTCTCATAAAAGGGACGGAAAGCTCGTACTGGACATAACGCATGTATTGACGGATGTAAAATTACCCACAATGCCGCAAAATAACAAGAACTATAACTGGGTTCGGGAGCGACATGAGGCTAGCTGCGACGACAGCGATGTCTTTTGTTCTATGGTTGAGTGTATTGCTTCAATTTACAGACGTCAGCAACCGAATCTTCGGAGCGCAAACAAATCATGCATATTTTTCCGAGTGTATGCAAGACAATTATGATTGCATGTTAAGAAGGTTAGTACACGTCACTGGAATATGCAGCGAAAATTGTACAACTATTTCGCCATGCACATTCTTGCATATAATAACTATAGAATGAATATTATAAAACATAATTGTTAAATCTAATTAGTGAAATTTGAAATCAATTTATGCGGAGACAGTTAGATTCTAGGTGGCGCATTTTTGAAAAGTGTTTATTGACTTAATGCAATGGCAGTAGATAATCTGTATTTTAAAGGAATGTTTCAAAAGACGTGCTCCCAATTTAGGTGAGCCCTTATTTTCTTTTGTTGGACGCTTGTTTTCTGGTGACCCAATAAGTCTGATATGGGATTATACGCATTCTGTGTTATTTGGAACGGAAGTTGCTCTCGCCTCATAGAACGCATCCAGACCTTTAAAAGAAAGCGATCAATGTGCGTTCTTGTTTTGTGGTGTAAATTTTTGCGCTACATTTTGACCTATCGGCGGTAATAGAATTGGTGCCACGGCATCGAAGTTGTGCGCGAGCAGGCACTAATTGAATTGGTGTCATGGCGTTGAAGTTAGGCACGTGCACTAACTTTAGCGATACTGTAACCTAGTTTATTCGCCTTATATACCTCGCAAGTTAAAGCCTCTGGCCATATTTGGGGCAATATTGTATCAAGAATACTTCTTTAGGAGTGATGTCACGTAATTTATACTTGAAGGTTTGCATTTTGTTAGCCTATTCAAAACTGGGCAGTCCTTTCACTTTGAGCTCATCTGACCCTGACGTTTCAATGAATGTGGTAAGCATGTTAAAATATGAATCAGAACATTTATATGAACGAACATCGCATCTAGGAAGCAATCTTCGATGTTGTCACAACTAGTTAGCTCGCGTTAATGGGAGTTTCGCGGGAACAAACGTGGAAGGAAGTACTAAGCTTTACCGAGGTCAGTGGCTTCCAAGTGCAAAACACCATGTCCATAAGGTATCGGGAACGCAGTTAATATGTAAGCTTTCAAATATAATTCGAAGCATACCCTTTCCTAAATTATCCAAGAACCAAGGAGCACGGTGCCAGTGTAGCTGCACGGGCTGCTCACGCTGCCGTCTGCAGCAGTAAGTGTTCTAAATCAAAAGTCTAAAACAAACGGAACTTGGCACGCGCGCTTGTCTCCGCCCTATTTTGGTTATTTACTTCGGACATTTAATACGCGGAAGGCGAGGACGTACGGAGCGTAGATTTACATTTTCTGCGTTCTCCTAAATGCTTGGGTAATTTAGCAATAGGTATGTCGTAGTTACCTCGCAGAATGCATTCAGCCATATAACAACGTTGTTTAAAAGCAAGTAAAAAGCAAATACACTTTCAGCAGATTCCTCCTTTTACCTAGATCTCTTTCTACGTCTGCAGTGTCATTTTCCGCACGATACCGAGCTGCACCGCTGGCTTTGTTCTTTTTACTTGTGTATCGTAAAGTGGAGGCGCCAGCGCGTCAATGCCAATCTGGATAACAGCCTGGTCGAATGTTGGCCCGCTTCCTAGCGCGAATACCGCACAGGCCGCAAGCAAAGATGACGAAACCTGCCGTGCCGCCTCAATGTTACGCGAAACATTGCATACACTCTAAGTGAAATTACGGTTACTGGGTCTCAACTTTCTCCCGGCAAGATGCGGCCGAGTCGGAATGTTATTTCTGGGATGATTAGGACGAATAGAAAGTTTCGCGCATTTTGACGTTATCCTGTTTAATGGTGAAGGGCCACTTAGAACGCTAGAAACACCAGCTTCCATCCTAGAGGGTGAAGAGGGAGCTTTCCTTGCCCTCTAGGACGCAAGCAAGGGAGTGGTAGCGTTCTAAGTGGCTCTTCACTTTCAGAAACAAGATCGAGAAACACAGAAAAAAACTTTTTATCAGGATTTTCCGTTTAGGAGGCAAAGATGTCGACAAGGTCGCGTATCGCCGAGAGAAAGTTGAAGCCAAATAACCGTTATTTTTTTTTAGTGTGTTAATTTAAGTGTTAGTCATGCCTTTATTTTTGTACATTTTAATATAGGGGAACTGTTTTTATTTTTTGGGGAAAAGGGGAAGTGTTTTAACACACCGCAGTTTCGAGTACGTGCAGCGAGAAGTGGTGACGAAGAAAGAAGGGATCCCGGGTGTATTCGCCAACCCTGCCCGTTTCTATATAGATATGCATCGTACCTGCCGGAGGCCGTGTGTCACAACTGCGTGATGCATTTTTGAAACCTCAGGCTAGCAGTGGTACTGCACTGGATTAATGTTTCAGCTACAGCGAAGACAGTAGATGCCTAATTAGGATGACAATCTTCTTGCTGTCTAAACATATACAACGAAATTGCAATATTAGCTTTATTCATTGCCGACTTTACATCTTAATCTTTAGGAGATGTTACCCTATATAATGCAGCAGCCTAAATGTCTTAGCCTTTTTTCTAGTCGCAACTGATCCAGAGCAAGGGGCACCCCGTGCAAGAATACGAAGTCACCACCGAGGACGGCTATATCCTCGAAATCCAACGAATCCCATGGGGTCGTAACGGAGCTCCCGTAGATAAAACCTCAACGACGCCTGTCTTGGTTCAGCATGGTATTTTAGCGTCATCAGCGGACTTCGTCAACAACTTTTATAATCAGAGTCTTGGTGAGTATGGTTTTGCCACTTAACTTATGTAGGCCAATGTTATAATAACCCAGTTGGCGGCTTGTCAGCTTTGTATATTTATTTGTTTATTTGGTTCTTCGTGCCACAAAAACGACCGAAGTCTTTGTATGAGGCACTTAGTTACACAATGCAGCATGCTCACAAATAGTTATACATTCCTAACAACATGTATACATCATCGCATACAATCTCATAAACAACGTTTAAAACAGTATGGTAGCTCTGTGTACAAGAGTGACTCAACTTCACACTTAAAATGTTGGTAATTACCAGACATATCCACGCAGGTAGTGGACGTGTCATTAAAAGTAAGTTGCATGCGACAGGACATAACCTCTCCTAATGAAAATGACAAAATGGACAGGCATGTCTACTACCACATATGGGTGCGTGGAAATTCACAGTACATAACAAAGCTTTAATATGGCAACATGATTTGCGCAGCAGTCAGAACGACGTACAAATTGTAGCTTATAACTCAAAGTGATCTCATTGATTAACAACAAAATATTATAAGTTATTGCAATACGTTTTGTGAGGTATTCGCGTGGAAAGTGAACCGCTTCTCCATCAACTGCCACCACACATTCGCGTTCCATCAACCCGGAGTATAGGGAGTGTTCACTGGCAGCCACGGCTGTGCGCTTTGTGAGCATTTGCTGAGCACGGCTGTGCGACAGTGAGTGTTTGCAAGAATACATCCTCACCGATAGAACTGCTGTTAAGTTACTACAGCTCGTGCTGTTGAAGAGATCTCCATGAAGAGAAAACTAGTGTACACATAATTTAAAACGGATAGAAATGAGCAAAAAGAAGACACACAAAAAAAAGAGATTTCAATTCTTAATGGAGTAGTGAGTCTTGGCCCTCTTATCGGCTGTTCGTCTTAGGTTTAAATTATGTTCTACGTGTGAATAGCTCCTGTCGATCGCTGACTGTTATAAATGCGGTTGTTAGCTGCGAAAGTCCAAAAATTCGTGGATATATAGACTCGACTTTTTTTCTTAAAGTTCAGCCTACAACTAATGGCCACAGCACGACAGAAATATATCCAAGCTTTGTCCACGTCATGAAAACGAGTATGGTGCGTAGCAGCGCAATCTAAGCGCATATACGTTATCTCACGTATGAAAGAAAACCTCGATGGCGGGCCGTTTTTTTGTTTTTGTTTTTGAGAGAACTGATATTTTGTTTTTACTGACAACAGCTTTGCCCGAAGGTATCACGTGTTGGTGAACCGAAATTAGATGGTGGGTGTAAAAATTCTCAGACATAACACATAAAAGTGAGAAACTGAATTAATGCCGTCTGATAACTTGAAGGGGCCTTCAGTACACAAGTTGTCAAATAAACAGGATTTTATTAAAACTTTATCAGCGAGAAGCTAAATTACAAGATTGCAGCTTTTAAATGAAACTTCCTCGTGGTCCTCTTGTACAAAATTTTAAATAGTTCGCGATTGTACATTGAAATTATGGCACCCGGGAAAAGAACTATCGCCCGATATTAGGATCTTTATCTTGAGCTTGCGGAATATATATTGCCCGTGACAGCAAAACTGCCGATTTTTTTAGGCTATGATTTGTAATAAATCGCTCAAAATTTAATGCATTAATTAATTTTCAGTGGGTTCGTCGACTATTTTAAAATCATTAGTAGTGCCCTGTACGTGCGACTACCAGTGCCTGAAGCTCCCATTATGAAGCTGAATCTGCCCTAATATGGTGAAGCTCCCTCTACATCCACTCCAGTCCAGGTACTGGAGTGCACCTCCGGACAGGCATAAAATACAAATTGGTTGTCGACACCACGTCTTTATCAGGCCCGTAGAAAAGCTTTAGTAGAACCTGACGTCTGCAACATATCAATGCTGAGACTCAATATATTGTGGTGATTCCGTAGGTTTTCTTCTCGCCGACGCTGGCTACGATGTTTGGCTCGGAAATTCCAGAGGGAACACGTACACCAGTCATGTGAATTTAAGTCAGAAAGGCCGCGAGTTCTGGAATTTCAGGTAACATTTACGAGGGTACTAGATATTATTTTGCAGTCGCTTGTCGGTAGATTTTAGAGCGCAGCTCTTAGGTGCCCGTTTCCGGGTTGAGCGGCGTCGGCGTCCACTTGGGCGTAACCGCGCTAAATTTAGCGGGAAAAGGGACGCTGGACTTAGCGGACGAATTCAGATTCTCCACTAGAATTAGCGGGAAAATTGACGTAACGTGACATCAGCACCAACATTTTGGTGCTGATGTCACGTGCTTTCAATTACCCGCTAAATTTAGCGGGTAATTGAATTCCTGTTGAGGTCACGTGACGTTAATTTTGCCGTTACATCTAGCGGAGAAACTGAATTTGTTCGCTAGATTTTTTATTTACGACCGGCCGCAAAACGAGCGAATTTTAATCTCACTTTCTATCCGGTTGATTTGAAAACTCTTTGTGTACACGTTTAAAGCAGTGAGGAAGGCAATTATTTTGATTATTAAACTTTAATCTAAGGTTAGGCAACACAGTAGGCACACGCGATTGCCCGCTTGTTCTGCTTTCTTGTATAGGTAAACTACTGCACCAAAATCTGCTAGTGAAAATAATTGACATCCGTGGGTAACCAATAGTGAGCTTGGCGTTCGTCTCTAGCCTCCACTGTAACATCAGTAAAAACTACCTACGCCCTGTTTGCGCTGTATCTCACAGCGGTGCACGTTTGTTCTACGTAGTCCGGCAATGAAAAAAGACATCAGGAAACATGACGTCTGCGCTTTCAATTTATTCAGCATCATATTTCACGGCAACACAAATCCCATGTAAATTGAAGGCATCGCTACATCTCGTTATGGAACAGTTTTGACCAGGGTATTGGGTTATTTTGAAAGCAGAGGGGGCAAACTGAACAAGTTGGCGCCAGTGGAGAATATGGTGCGTCGTCGGTAGTGTTGCCAAATTGTTCATGCAATTACTTGGTCGCTTGTGGTCAAGATTAAAGTTGAAGGATATGTACGTTAGATGATTGAATCGTATCTGCACGTATCGATAGGTGTAAATAAAAAGTACAGAAGAAAAAAAGACAAATAGTTTATATTCAAGCACAAATATATTTTGTTCCCGATGCATCTAATCGAAGCAAGACCCGTGTAGGGTCAGCGATTTTTAGGTTTTTGCCTTATTTAGCCTACACGATGTTGCAAGCACCAAATTATAAATTGTTTAGACGCAAAAAGTCGCTCTCATAAAAAAGAACAAAAAATATTTCATAAATTTCCAACTTTGTTGTTATGTTTTCTTAAATGCTGAAAGCAATATGGATTATTTTATACATTTCAAATAATTTATTGTTTGGATTCATGAAACGCAGAGGCACAATAAAGATCCAATTTTCTGTTGGCTCTTTCAAAACATATATAAATTAATCCAGAATTCCCTCCTGCTTTCCTCTAATATATTGCTCACCTAGTCCATTATTCTATCATTATAGATTAACATCGTTCTTTAATTTAAAACTTTTGTGATACCCATTGTGCTAATTCAATTAAAATATTATTTTTCAGCGCTGATGAAATAATGATCTACGACCTTCCAGCCATGATTGACGCAGTTCTCAGGATATCTGGACAAGAGAAGCTTCAATACATTGGCTGGTCCCAGGGAGCCCAGATATTATTTGAGCTTCTCTCAGAGAGGCCAGAATTTAATAACAAGGCACCAAACGTTTTTTTTTTTTTTATTATTAAACCCAGATTAGATTTTTAGGAAGCAGAAAGTATCCAATTTATTCCTTTTTACAGACGCAGGGTATCTTGTCTGAAAATATGTTGAAACCCACTGAGAGCAGCGTAACCTATACAAAAGTTACATAATATCGCAAACTCAAAGGCATTTTTTAAAGCAAAGTATAAGCGTCTACTAGAATATCACAAAATAGCAGTGAAACGTAACAAGCGTACAGAGTCGCGTAACATCAAAGATCGCTCGTAATATTTTAAGAAAGTTAGTGAAGTGATTGTAGTTTCTTTTTCAGATAACACTTTTCAGTGGCATGGCACCAGTTGCTTATCTCGGACACCTGAGGGCTCCCTTGAGAGTTTTGCTACCTTTTGAAGACATACTTGCGGTAGGCTCGAAATAACTGCTCTACATTAATCTCGAAAACAGGCATGTTTCAGCTGGAAAAAACAATTTTCAGAGAGGATTATTTTTTCAGCATATCTTATTGAGATTCAATAGATTCGTGGAACGCTATTCAGGTGACCTGGAAACTTATTGTTTCCCTAGTTAATCTTATTGACTGCGGCGGACCTCAGGTTAAAAGTGTAAAGTGATGTTATAAAAGTAATGAATTATCGTTGTATAATTAGTTTAAAAATATTTACCTTAGATGGACAATTATAATTAAATATACGTTATCCATAGTGAAAATAGGACATAGCTACACACTTCAAAAACTAAATTCTTGTCCGTACTGTGCGGTGGCTAATTTAAGCCATGGGGTGTGAGATATACCCAGGGGTTTCCCCAGGAATTGAGATTAAGGGGGGGGGGGGGGTAAAATTATGTGGGGAGGGGTTGTTAGGTGGGGGGCATTGAGAATAGATTAGTTGTTGCGAGATAAGGGGTACCTTAAGAAAATCAAGAGGGGTGTGCAGGGAAATTCCTGGATATACGGAAACAAAGAGGAAAAGAGCGATGACGTAGGCCTCCGCAACGTTCGCCGGTAAACAGTCTTCAGGAGTTGATGTTAGGGCGGTGCTTTATTTTGGGTCACGTAGCTGTAAAAAAAGGCGCGCACACTCTATGTTTTCGCAGTCGTACAATTTGCACCACTTTTTATAGCGCAGCTCTTAGGGGCCCGTTTCCGGCTTGAGCGGCGTCGGCGTCGGCGTCGGCGTAACCGCGAGGTCACGTGACCCCCCGAGGTCACGTGACCCCCATAGGTCACGTGACCCCCATAGGTCACGTGACCCCCTGAAGTCACGTGACCCCCTGAGATCACGTGACCCCCTGAGGTCACGTGACCCTCTGAGGTCACGTGACCCCCTGAAGTCACGTGACCTCAGGGGGTCACGTGACAACCCGAGGTCACGTGACACCCCGAGGTCACGTGACCCCCTGAAGTCACGTGACCCCCTGGTTTTAGTGTGACCGACTCCAGACAGCCTACCTTTGCCGTTGAATAATGCAGGGAATAACATTTTTTTTCTATTTTCTAAGAACTGCTTGTACAGTGCCCTTCAAACTTAACTCCGCCACTCGGTTTCGCAAATATTGATCTATTGCATGCTACCCAAAGATAAATTGATTGCTGCAGCTGCTGGAATACCTTCCCCTGATTGGGTTTTCATCGGGGATGCAAATCTTCACCAACTAGTTCGACTGCTAGGTTCAGGAACAGCTCAAGAAATGAAGAAACCGGACCATCTCGTGGCGGCGTTATGTTTGGGGCGCACCGTACATACTTATATGAAGGGCAACATATTTCTAATTAAAATGTATTAGATATGGCACATTCGTAATGAAATTAATAGGTTGTTTTTTGTTGTTTTTTTTTTTTTTTGTAATAAGGCGGACAGTAACCAGATTTTATTCGTACCCCTTCCTCCAACACGGTTAACAACGTCATTGTGAGGGAACCATAATCTTCATTTCAAGTGTCTTTTTTGGTAATAATTTCCGTCGAGTGTGAAAAATCCTGTGCTATATGTGTTTTCCAGCCCACCTTGCTCACAAGAGATTTCCGAATCATCTCAAAACGTCAGTTGCTAGTTTGTGTTGAGCTTAAGCAGCCATAACTTTGTACCGGATATATTTGCATCAATTTTAGGCAATCGAGTTGCCAACAATCACGCCTGGTAGATGTATGTGCGCATTAAGAAAACATTGCCTTAAGTTCTCATATCTTGAAAGTTTCCTCCCGATATCTGTTTTGAAGAAATCGTCCGCAGTTTTAGAAAGCTTGCAGAATCGAAGCAATTTATTTTCTTTAGGCATATCAGTTTTTATAGTTTGCTTATGCCAGGTTTTGAATTTTATTCAGAATCGCGGAATCTGAATTTACTTTATATTTTCTATCAAGTAAAGCGTGAAATCCTTTAACATTGTTTTATGTCAGTAAGGTTCACATAAGTTGGATAGAATGAAAACGCCTTAAAACATTATATGCACTTTATTTTTTTTTCACGTTTCACTAACGTTAGTTAGTATATATGTCTGAAAAATGGTAAGACGGATCCAATGTTACTCCAAATTAGAGTTGGCACGTGAGAAACAAATTAGGGCCACGACACTGCACACTGCGTGTTTAAATCATGTTCTTGGAATTTAATATTATTTGTAACCCAGTGTGCTGATAAAGCTGAATATTGTTTTTTTCATGGTATTTGCTATAGACTCTACCGCTGATGCGCGATACCTGTGTATGTAACCTCCAAATATGTGTTCTGTTTACGGCATTCGATTTCAAATCCAAATCAAATAGATTCCATGGCTTTGATTTAGTTCCATGAGCAAATAATTATTCGATGCCCACAAAAAATGATCCGTTCAGTAATTTAACGGTATCTACACTGTGAAACAAGAGGAATTATCGAGTTTCGCAACAACAGGTGTCGCCTGTAGAAACAGTGGTTTCAGAATTTGGTTATATCTCTGCGTCTTTGTTTGCGCTATCAGAATAGGAAAGAAGGCTTCGTTGTACGAAATGGAAGATGCAAATAATTCAAGATAGGCACAAACGTCACGTTTGGGAGCTCGGTCTAGGACAGTGCAGCTAAATGACGCTTACAGAATCTAGCTGCATTGCTCTAAAATTCAGTCCAGATGTTTTCGAACCAATACTTTTGAAAACAGTGTTTTGAAGCAACTGGCTTTCTGACGCTTGTACCACCGTTTCACACACCTGTGCCAGCTTACTGTGATGTATTTTACTTGTCCGTGTGAGTAGATTTGAGCTCTTGTTCTTTTTTTATATCTTTAGCTGGATATACCATTTGTTTTTTTTTCGCTAATGGACTGTAGGTTTTTTGATAAATGAAAGTGAATCATGGAAACCTCTGGAGGATCAATTGTTAATTTTAAATGACTTTGTTCTTAGAAAGTACAAATTAAAAAAAAGTTCAACACATCTTGCCACTGCAAACAGGAGCACCATCCGCATTACCGGATGTTACAAATTTCTAGAAATCTTCTTTTTCCGTGCTCTCCTTGACAAGTTTCAGTTCTGGCTCCATTGTAACGTCTAACCATCTACGTTATAATAAATATCGACTACAAGCAATATGTGGTTGACGTGCAAAATGTCGACACACGAAGTATATCGACAAGAACTTATTTTTGAATATCATAGATCAGAAAGACCTCGTAAAAATAGTCATGTAATGTTAACGCGCGTGGACAAATCTCAAGTACTCACGGCCCAGTTAATTTTAGGAGAAGGGGTGCCATGTCAATGAGCCCTAATGCACTACCTGCTTGGTTCATGCACCAACCTATCGTTGATCAAAAAGTATGTGGTCACGTGATAGCCGCAGAGGACTAACAAGTTCTTGCTTCCTTTATCTAGTAATCATCCTTAATCAGTTAAGCACAGCATTGTAAGAACTCCTATTTCGTCATCTTTTTCAGTCATGCCCACACTTTTCGGAAACAATTTTTCATTTTCAGCATCTTAGGCTTGTCAACGCGGGGTATCCAGCTGACCTCTTGGCGAACACATTGAAGAGGTTCATTCTTTAACTTATTCGTCCTTGCGTAGCAACCAAGAACACAAAACCGGAACGATTTGCCGTAATCCCATACACGCACAATTCATCGCAAGGCTAAGGGCTCTTGCATCCCGCTTCAATGAAAACGTAGTTTTTCTTGTGGAATGCGACTTAAGCAGCTCTGTCAACGCGCGTCAACAATCAGAAAAAACTGCAAGGGTTATTGTTAAGCACGCTGACCAGTTCGTTCCGTGCAAGGAAGAAAAAATTTATTTTATACATCTTAGGTGCGTGCAACAGTATATTGGTCAGACAGGAAGGTGCGTTAACCACAGACTCAGAATGCGAAATTTGGAAGTTTCACGGTCGTCAGCTGACTCCTTTCACCCTATAGTCGTTCATGCCCGCGCATGCACTGCGTTCCTTGTTTCAGGAAGACAAACATTTTAGGAGGTCATTAACAGATTTGGCAGGGAAATCATTGAGTCATTCACTATGAACTCTGTTGACAATAATGGGTTCACGCCTTCCCTTGTTCTTTCCAAAGAAAAGGTAACCTACTTGAATCCGTATTTACCGTGGATTATAACTGCTCCCCCCCCCATTAAAAAAAAATTTGTTTTGCTCATTCTGTAACCTCACATTTCATCTTATTTACATCTCTACAATTTATCTTTACACTTTAGGTCCTCTCTTTTTTTGGTCTGCGTCTGCGCCCAGTCTGTTGCATCCAGGCGTTCCGTGCAACTCGGTGGCCCGCCGTCTGGCTCTCCCCTCCCGGTGTCTCCAGTTACATCCGCCGTGGTCTGGCTCAGTGGGTCGTGTTCGATGAACGTGGCGAACACGCAGATAATATACCGCACACCCTTTCTTTCCCTTTTCCATGACGGTGCTGAATTGCAGGGAGTGCTTTTAGGCTCATCCATGTTGTTGCTAGTTGAAAGAAAAGTTTGTCGTCCTTCGCCCTAAGTTTGTTTTATTCTTTCTGTTGTCAGCCGCCTAAAAGTTACTGACTGATAGTTTCAAATTAGTGTGGCGCCATGTGTGTCGCGCAAGGCCTCTTAAGTGGACATATAAAAAGCGGCTTTAAAATAGTTTGAATTATCGAAATGTTGCCTGAATATTGAATTAAAACGAAAGAAACACACAAGAGGACGAAACAGACGACACAGCTTTCGACTTGCAACTACAGATTTACTGGGGCGGCTCGTCGCTCAGAGCTCGACTTGGGGAGGCGATGGGGAAAGGGGGGAGGGGGATGAGGGGAGGTGTAAGAAACACAGGGAGACCGTTGCGGGGGCGAACACAGCGGGCGGTCGGGAGTCTGGTCCACGGCGTGGTCTGGTCCGTGTCGCCTCTCTCGTAGATGACACCTCGCGTCGCTTCGTGCCGTCGGGGGCGCGGCGGAGAGCGGGGGGAGGGGGGGGGGGGTCATCGGAATTCCCCGGGGAAGGCGCAAGACGGACCGGAGCACCAGAGGGTTAGGCGAAAACAGAAGGCGAGAAGAAGTAAAAACAGAGGGCGGCTTTCCGGGGTTGTTTTTGTTGGCCACTGTTTTCCCAAACATTTAAGTTCTAGTGCCGCGTGTGCTGGGGGGCTCCCCTCCCTCGCAGGAAGCTAATCTCTCTCTCCGAGAGGGAAAGGGAAGGGCTGGAAAGGTTTTTGTCGCTGACTTGATACTTACGGATTCTATTATTTCTCTTCCGAATCGAGATCGGTGTCCACCTATGATTTTTGTTTGGGTGAAATGGGGTGTGCAAGAGGAACATTTTTTTGCGTGGACAACAACCGGATGCACGGAATCTTCGGGCGGGCTCGTGATCTCCCTCGCGTGTTCACGGAGACGGTCGTTGATACATCGGCCCGTTTGACCGATGTACTCCGCTCCGCACGAAAGAGGGATCGTGTACACTTTCTCTCGCGCGCAGGGGCGGAAGCACTGGGCGTGTTTTTTAGTGCAGGAGGGCGGAGGTTCGGGATTGTTGACGCGCTTGCACATTCCACCCAATTTGAATTTGCAGGTGAAAAGGACCCTGGTGTCGAATTTGCGTGCAAGCGCACTCAAACGATGGGATGTGTTGTGCACGTAGGGAATGCAAGCAGGGCGGGAGGAGAAGGATCTGGGTGGGGAATTGCGGGGGCGGCTCCCGGACTGCACGATCAACTTTTTGATGTTGTTTTCAATCAGATCCGCGCGGTATCCTGCCCCCTGAAGCCTAGCCGTTTGACGCGAGAGACTCTCCTTGATAAGGTGGGGACAGGACTTTTTACAGGAGGAGGAGAGAAGAGATTTGACGATGCCGGATTTAACTGTTTTCGAATGATGGCTAGCGAAAGGAAGGACAGGTTTTTGAGAGCGCTGTTGGAAGGACCAGCATTTAATTCAATGTAGATTACCAACACGCTCAAGTCTATAATTGCCTGAATATCTTTGTGATTGTGAAGGGTGGGCATAAAAGGAAATATTTTAGAATGATTGCAGATGAGCGCTGCCGTCTACAATTATTCCAAATTTAAAAACGGCCCAGGGATAATTAGCTATGATGAATTGGTTCACTTTAAAAATCTGTTTGACAGACTTTTTTTTAAAATTTGATAAAAATCTATGGCGAAGGCTTCGGTATGTGTCCGTCTTAAGAAACAAGAATAAACGCAGTTACGAATATCTTTTGCTTCTCTAGTTGCTAATTTGATGCCATCTTTTGCTGACTTTTCAGCTCCTGGTTGACATATTATATCACGGGGAACTTTTTTCAAGTAGTGATTTAATAAAGTGGGTAGCTCAGACAATCTGCAGTCACCCTACATCACGTCTGGCATGTGAAGCATTTGTGGGTTTTATAAACAACGTTGATTCTTCCGAGCAGAATAAGGTATGTCCACACATAACGCAAATTTACTAAACTCAGGAAACCAAATGCTTTCTAGGCACGGTTTCTGATGAAGTGCGCGAGCATGAATATCAAATATCAAAAGAATTACTTAAAAAATTTCGCAAATCTTTTACGACCACGGTCTAGAAAGAACGATTCAAATGATCCACTTTCCAATAAGGAGTATTGGGCATAAGATGAAAAAAAACGAAACTCTGTTCTACTTCGAGTCAGCCCATTGAACATTGTTGAGGAGCTGTCTAAATAGCATAAGCTGTCCTTAAAAAAATGTTCATAAAGTTTTTTTGTTTTGTTTTTTAAATTTAGGTAATCACGGAATCGGTCCCAGGCCGCGCAGACACACTGACCAAAACAATGTTAATTTTAATTTTAGCGCCCGTCGTTTTTCTTAACTTATATCTCTAGCAGTATTTTTGCGAACACTAGTGGTTCTACTGCCCCAATATTAAACTTCATATTCCAACTTTGAAATATATTTAATTGTCGTAGATGTGTTTCAAGTAAAGACATATATGTGTATTTTTTCACAAGCTATTTTTCTTGCCATTTCGAGTGGCCAGAATCTTGTGAAGCTGTATTGCAGCTGTTTTCGCGATATCTGGGTGACCGATTTGATCTTGGAATTTTTGCATTGAGTGTGTCATTAGAATATAAACTTGATTTAACCTTTTCATATTTCATGTTTATGTTTGTTCATAATATAAAGTAAAATAAACAGTGGCCTTCTTAACTCTATCCGACCCTCAAATTCGTTCGATTGTCAAATAGCATTAAGAATACTGTGACATAAATGTTTGATACCAAATGATTTTGATTATAGAAAGGTTTCGTAACAATGTGAAACTAATTCAAGCTCCATTTTCCCCAAGACACGTCTTCCAGTTTATTTAAGTAATTTTCCCGCCGGGAGTTCCATTCGAAACTTGAACCATTTATCACAGGTGAGCATTGTTCGCGATAATAATTTTAAAAAAATCATTGGTTGTATAGGAGAATGAAAGAAGGAGAGTTCATTTTGGGATTTTTTTAGTAACTGTTTGTGTATTTTTCAGTTAGTTCGATGCGACTGCTTCCAGAAGTATGATTTCGGCTCCTTTGGAAACAAAGAAAAGTACGGAAAGGTAAGAAAGAGCACGGGTATCAAACTACTGCACCATAGCATGAAGATTGTGCTTTAATGTTCCATCCCTTTTACCGTTATTTCGAAACTTGTGATAGGTAATTTGTTTTATTGTTGCAATATTCCTTAGTCCGTCCTGTACGTTCGATGATTAAAGTTGAGGAATACAAGTTGTTTTAACTGTGTATGTGAACAGAACGATTCTGTGTCTATGTTATATCTATCGTAAGTGGCATATTCAATAAAACTTGATTAGCAAAAATTCTCTTGTAGTTTTATTTTTATCAGATTTAACTATTCTCAAAAGGGATAAAAGTCCAGGTGTTATTAAGTTTGAAAAATAAATAATAAGATAGGAATACTAAATTTAAATTCTGTTTTCTTGTGGATAGAACATTTACATTAATAAATACATTTCATAAACACTATGACAACAATCTCATATTGCAAGAACGAGGACAATTGAATTTCTGTGATTTTCAAATTGTTTTGAGTCGAAACTTGTTCGGCTATCTCATCGTAAACATTCCACACGCAATTACGTTTTTAATTATTTTAATTTGGAGCTAAACTTTCTACCTCCAATTGATGTTCTATTGCAGAAAACAATAGACCCTTTCCGAAATTCAGTCTGGCCGCTTTGATCACTATCATCATCGTCTAAAAAATGACATATGTGCCATACTGATGGCGGTCTTCTCTTTATTGATGAAGGAATTAAATGCAAGAACTGCGTAAACGTTCATTTCTAGCTCGGGCCCAGTCAATTTGTTTGGAGAACTCACTCGACTTCAAAGCCCCTTGATGCATAGAGTTGTATCAAGGCGTCCATCTGGGTTGGCGCTTCATTCTGAATGATTGCGTCTTTTTAGCCATTGACACTGAAAGTGATGATCGAGAAAAAAAAAAACACTATACTGTGAAGAGCACATTCTCGTTTGCCGCTGACTTTCAAAAGTGACTGTGCCCGAGAAAATACTGCAGACTACAGGTTCATTGCTGCCATTAGTACGGCCAGTAAGTAAAACCGCCATTTCAGTCACCAGATGGCTCTAAAGTTCGGAAAGGGTCTACTGAATCAAGAAATACCTTGCAATATAAAGTACTCTATGCAATTGCCTGTGCTTGGTGTGGAATATTTCATAGAATGCGGTTGATGCAAAGTGGTCTACAATGTATACATGAATTGAGTTTATGCTTGACTGATTCGTTTAAAAAAAAACAAGGAAAGCTACAAAAATGGGTTTTCTGCAGGTGAGTTGTACGGCCATGGGGACATAATAATTTTATTTATTATATGTAAAATGAAGTTAACTAAGGTTGGCTAAGTAAACTTATATTTCATGCTAATAATAGGGTTTCAATTATAAACTTGTTGAGTGTAATGAAAAACCACTAAATCAGTAAGGTTAATAAAGACCTAGAGCGCGGTGGAAGCGCGGTAGTGCGCTGAACTTATGGATCGTGCAACAGGCGCAACGCTGATGGTGCAAAAACGTGAAGGATGTGAGATTTGGATCATCCGGTCGGGCGCATTTTCCCACGCCCATCCTTCTGCCTGTTGCACGAGCGGTAAATTTAGCTCATCGCCGCGCGTCTCACGAAGTTAGTCTTCTTAAAATTTACAGATTGTTCTTTCAGTGACGGTCAGAAAGTTTATAATCTGGGTTTATAAGGTTATCGTTTCTAATCAAAAAGAAAATAATCGAAATGTAAATAATTGTTCGATTTATCATGATGAGAGCCTCCCTAGGACGCATAGCCCGCTTGCATAGGTCACATTATATAACTCTCTCGCCTTAAAAGAACAAATACGCGGATTGTAAATTAAAAAAGGCTTGTAAATGTGGGAAATGGTTCAAAATAACTCCAAAAAAGAAAGGCCTTAGACGGGCGGTGCAACGGTTTTCAGACTTTGGCCAATTAACTGCAGAAATTAATCTGTGTCACCCATGGAACGAAGAACAGATAAACATATTTTCTTGCGAGCGCTAGTTTTTGTGTAAAACAATGAAGCAAATCGAAGTTCAAAGTGCATCTCTGCTTTCACGCAGTGTTGCCGAATGGTGGGAAATTTCCCATATTGTGGGAAAAAGCGTGACAGCTAGGGAAAAAGGGAAACCAGAATTTAAACACTTGTAAAACGTGGGAAATATTTTTTAATACGAAACTAAACCAAAATTTTGTAATTTTCTTTTCTACATCGAACAAGAGAAAGGAAGTGGCACTAGCCAGCATAGCAGTTTGCTGTTTTGAAGAGCCAACCTAATTCATCACGACTTAGATCATGTGCGTGCTGCAAGCCTGCCGGTATAGTACTGCCGGTACGCGCGCTTTTCTCACCGCTAGCTACGCACACTAATCCTCTGTCAGTGCGATAGATCATGAATTGTACAGTGGGTGGAGTCCCTTTCACATCACGAAAACGAGCAGGCGATTTTAGTTTAGTTTAGTTAATGGCCCGTTTGCCTTCATTCAGTTCCCCTGGTTCATTCAACCAATGAATTGTGCGGAAAAGAAGGAGAGGGGAGACCAGTTTGCCGAATGCCAACTACATTTCGTAATTTATGCAATGCCAACTTCTACAAAACAAAAACATAGGGGAGGTGTTGGTGCATTTAAATATACTTGGCGTCATGCGTATCTTAAAAACGACTTCTGTCACTAAAATGGTGTCGTGGGAAAACAAGGGACTTTTCGCCGCTTGGCGAGGGAAAAACCGAAGTGGCAATGCGGCAACACTGTCTCCACGTCGCCTTTCGAGTGACGTACTCTGGGGGATCACGTGGTTTCCCCTTGGGTTCTCTCCTCAGAGGCTCCAACCATTTCCTCCGCGATTATCCACTCTTAAAGAACTAGCATCGCCGAAGGTCGCGGCGAGCAATCGACACAAAAGACGGTTCGCCACGGGGGTTACGGTGAGGGTAGCAGCGGAGGGGGACAGGTTTTGTTCACTTCCGCGTATCCCCCAGATTACGTCACATATCAGTTCCGTTAACCACAACAAGCGGCTGCAGATCGGTAAATATTTCGTTTTCTTCTTTGCGATTACGCAGTGGAATAGCAGTTTTTCGGTACAAGGTGACGCATTTTTGGTCACTTGTGCTTGGATAAACAATATAAAAAATACAAACTGCAAATTCTTTCAACACTAAAATCGTTGCACTACCCCTTTAAGCAAAACATTTTGTCACCTTTTGTTTTCGTTGCAAATATTCAGCACAGAGCAGCCACTTATATGAGCTTTTTAAAAGTTACTTAAAATCTGGACGTTCCACTTATGCTGAATACAGGCCAGTTTTATATATGCCAGCCCTCTCTTCCTCTCTTAAGTATTCGCTAATTATTAGAAGCGAATAGGCTGCAAATATGAACGCAGTTTAACTGTTCTGTGCACTCACCCTGCACGCAAGCACTTTTTATGTGGAAACAGTGATCATGTCATACGCTTGAAATGCAGTAAAATATTACGACCGTAACACTTTTGAAACTTCACAGTTTCATTAAGGCTCTTTTTATTGTCTAAAAAGTACACTACATTTTGTATGTACAGGCAGTGTTTGATCGGTTATTATTCTGCGCGGATGCAGGCGAAACAAGCTGTGTTTAGGGGAAATATATACGTATAACCTACGCAACGAGCTACACTCAAGATACAATAGCTGATTATAGTATCACCGTTTCTATTCGACCTTCGAATAATGTTAAACTACCTTAGCACGAGATATCAATATGCATTACACTTAAGTAGTTTACTGTTTCCTATTCATTTTAGCCAAGTTCTTTTCACACCATTTTTAGTCTAGGTATATAAACTAGAACCTGTTGTGAAGTACGTTTTTTTCTTTCAGGTGAACCCACCTCAGCATCAGTTAAGCAATACTAAATTACCTGTCGCAATCTACTGGAGTGATGGCGACGAACTGGTTACAACTAAGGATGTCGCTAGACTGCGCTCGGAGCTGCCCAACGTCGTTGCCTTCTACAAAGTTCCAGATGATAAATTCACTCACCTTGATTTCGCTTGGGGTATCACGTCTGCGAACGTACTTTACCGAGAAATGATTGATCTCATGGATAAATACAAATAGAATCGATATATTATGCTTTCGGTTTTCTGAACTGCAATCCATGCATATTTGACCATATTCATTTGGCTTTTAAAGTTTTCTCTTTATGTCTTTTTTTTGTGTGTGTTTTACATTTTGTGCATAACTCTGCAGTTATAATGTTTTATTAAAAAAAACGTGTAGTCGAAGGAAGAGACGCGGAAGGGAAAGTCTAAAACTCAGTTAACTGTTTATTTCTGAAGCAATCTATATATACCCACACAGCCACTGTGAACCACCTTCTACACAGCGATCTCCTCTCTTGAAAGCACTTCCAAATACAAAGACCATACTCACTCACAAGAAAATAAACGGTTCAACCCACAATAACGTCATTGTCAATCACCTTCTACGCAAATATATTTTTTGTTGAAAGCGATTTCAACACAAATAACATATGCACTTACAAGAGACCACGCGGTCAAACCAACAGTGCCCTAATCCTAAAGGACGAAGGGAGAGGGCTCCGGGACCTACATGTAATTTGGAAGCCACGGAGAAAGTTTCTCAAATTGTAAGCAACACCTTAAAGTTTTTTTTTTTTTTTTCTTTTTACAAAGGAAAATATGTTTGAAGTGGTTTTAATCTTTGGGAAGCTTTGTACCCCAACCTGGACAAAGCTTTCCCAAGATTAACAACACTTCAAACATCTTTTCCTCTGTAAAAAGAAAAAAAAAACTTTAAGGCGTTGCTTACAATATGAGAAACTTTCTCCGTGGCTTCCAAAATGCATCGAGGCTTGACTTATGCAGTTTCCGATAGACGTTATCCTTATTGTTTCTTTAATAACTTTTTTGATATCATTCCGCTCTTTATGCAGAACTTCCATTTCTGACCAGTAGAATGAGAGAATATCTTTATTGAAACAGAGAGTTTAGTCTGAGCTTTGCGCTCTAACAGGCTTCTCTGTGGTGGGGAAGGGGAGGGGGGACAGAAAGACGATCGACAAAGGGTAAATGATGATGAGATGAAATGGTAAAATATATACACGCTATAGTGTCTAGTTTCAAGATGGGAAATGAGAGAAAGATAAGAAAAATAATTAAAGCGCTGTCAGCAAGTCATTGTCCTCGAGAAATTTAAAGAGAGCTCCTAAGGCTGCTCGACGTGTCTTAGCAGGCCAAGGTCCGAAAAGCTTTGGTAGATCAAAAGGTCTACAGTCCAGAGCATTCGTAGAGTTTTTGTAAAGTTTGCGTTCATTTTCATATGCTTGACATGTGAGTAGAATGTGTCTTGATGGTTTCCGGCGCACCGCATTTCTCACAGTACGGAGTCGCGCGTTGTTATTTTAAAGCGATAGTTCTTCGTGTACGCACAGTTGAGGCGAAGTCTATGTATAAGAGTTTCTAAATTTCGTGGGAGGTCGCTTGGTAGTTGTGTTGCTAATAAAGGGTCTATGTCATAGAGAAATTTGTAGTTAGAATCCGGTGAGTACCAAAGCATCTCACGTGCACGTTTTTGCAATTTGTCTTGTCAGAGATGTACAATCGCCTTTCATAAAAGGAACCATTCGTGTTGCGATGTTCTGGTGGGCCCTCTTGGCTGATTTGTCAGCGCATTCGTTCCCCCGTATACCGGAATGTCCTGGTATCCATTGAATGGTAATTTGATGAACGTATTCGAACGCTAGGTGGTGGTACTCAGCTATTTCTGGGGAAGAAATTGAATACATTGATTTCTTTCCAATAGTACTGAGCGACTGTAAAGCGCATTTCGAATCTGTAAATAAGGTCCATTTTGTGGTGGTTGTTGACACATATACTTGATTGCTTTCTTAATTCCGTGAAGCTCAGCGGCTGTTGATGATGTATGATGGTTTAGACGACAAGATCTTGCAAGAAATCTCGATGGAACGAAGAATGCTGACGATGAAGTCGTCGCCGTTGTTGAGCCATCGGTATATATGTGCGTTGTTCCAGTGTAAGTTTCATATATGTAACTCATTACAAGTTGTAGCATAACTAAGCTACCCTGTTGGTGCTTTGCAAGGATTCCGGGGATGTTTAGATTAATATCCATTTTTCGAAGCGTCCATGGAGGTAGTTTGGAGTATTTAGTAAAAGCTGCCTGCTTTGGGGAATATTGTCAATATTTCGACCTAAAGTATCCCCATAGCTGGAGCTTGGACGTTTTATGTGTATTTTAGAAAGATAATGATTCTTATGCCGAGTTTTATGGCGTAAATGAATTCGTACAATTTTTTGTTTCTGTAATACTTCCAAAGGAAGGCATCTGGCTTCTGCTACCGTGCCAAGTCCAGATGAACCTCTTGGTAGACCAAGGCAGATTCGAATGCATTTGTTAAGCGTCCCTTGAAGCTGTCGTTTACTCGTAAGGCTTATATTTGTTAGGTGTGGAATAGAGTGCCTTATTAGACCTTCAACCAGAGGTTTGTACAGTAGAATCATTGATCTGCAGTTAAATCCCCAAGCTGTTCCTGTGAGGCAGCGTAGAACATTGGTTGCTCCCGTGATTCGCTTTTTTAGAGAATTAACTTCTTTCATCCATGAGAGATTTCGATCAATGTTGATCCCTAGAAATTTATGTACTGTGACGTAAGTAACTGTATTTCCTCCTAAAAAGATCGGATACTTTTCCATAGATTTCTTCGTAAATGCCATGGCAACTGTTTTCTGGGGAAAGATCTGGAGGCCTTTGGAACCTAAAAAACTTGCCAATATATGGAGGGACTTTTGCAACCGAAGCTTTACAGTTACCCTAGAGCGGGAAGTAGACCATACGCAGATGTCATCTGCGTATATGCTAATACTAACTCCTCGTGGAAGATGCTTTTTTTAATGCTATCAGTGTGATATTGAATAGAGTGGGACTTAGTATTGCACCCTGAGGTACTCCTTTGACAACATCAAAATAGTTGGAATTTCCTTCTGAAGTATCAATGTAAACTTTTCTGCACTTGAGATAATCGTATATCCATTTATAAATGCGTCCTCCAAGTCCTAGATCTGCGAGAGCCATTAATATTGCCTCATGCTGAACAGAATCAAATGCTGCTGTAATATCTAAAAACAGTGCAGTGGTCGTGTGCCCTTTGGCTCTACCTTCTTCGACACTCTTTGTAAGATCAATAATGCAGTCTGTGGATGACCGTCCGCGGCGGAAGCCATTCATTTGCTCTGAATAACATTTATTTTGTTCTAAAAATCATGAAATTCTACCGAGTACCATTTTTGCCATTAGCTTTCCTATACAACTCAAGAGTGCAATGGGTCGGAAAGATTCGAGACTAGTGGGCGGCTTACCAGGCTTCAAAATCGGCGAAATCTTTGCAATTTTCCACTCTTGTGGTAAGGCTCCTTTGATCCAGGAATTGTTGTAGTGTTCAAGAAATTTGAGTTTGGATGTTGGGATAGGTGTGCCACGGCGTTATACGTAATGCCATCTCTACCTGGCGCTGAATTAGTTGCACCTTGAATTGCTGCATTTAGCTCATCAATAGTGAAGAGAAAATTTAGACTTTCGTTTGTTGCAGCAGGTATGGTAGGTCCCGCAGTCGAGATAGTACTACTATCTGTACCACCACTTCTTAGGAAAGCGTAGTAATTGTTCGCAGTATCGACTTCACTTCGATTTTCACGTAGTGAGAGTGCTTTAAATGGATATCGCTGATGGGGGCTTCTCCTTAGACCTCTCATAATTTTCCATATGTATGTAAATGATTTACGAACATCGAGATTTCTACATATCTTCCTCCACATCTTTTTTGCTAATTTTTTTAGATGTCTCCGAATGTGTAATTGCGCCCGTCGTGAAGCTCGCATATCTACCGGTCCTTTTGTGCGAAAAGCTTTCCGCTCTGCTTTACGTCTTAAAGCACGTAATCTTGAGTATTCTTGATCGCATGCATTTTCAACCTGACGCACAAATGAAAAAAATGTTGCTCAGTAAGGGAATATGATAGAGTTGGAATTAATTCATCATCACTTGTCGCAGCTGTTATGCCTTGGTTTGCCATTTCTCTATATTTGTCCCAGTTGATGGATTGTACTTGCTTCTTCCTTGAGGGTATTCCTTCTAATGTCATGAGTATTGGATAATGGTCGCTTCCTTGCGTTTCAAGGTCCGTGTGCCAGGACATTTTGTTGAAGAGGTCACTGGATGCGAAAGAAACATCGAGACAGCTTTCCGATTTCGCATTTTTTAGAAATGTTACACTTCCGTCATTAAGACAAAGAAGCCCATAGTTTTCCATGAGGTCGGCAAGGGCTGTACCTCGTGACGTTGTTTTCCTGCTGCCCCAAAGTTGATTGTGGGCATTGAAATCTGACCAGTACGCAGTGTAGTTGTTGCATTCGTTAATGTGCTTTTCCATATCTGAGTTCGACGCATTTGTGCTTACATTTCTCTTACGCTCTAATACCCCGTGGTTCATTCATCACGGGGTTTGTCCTGCTAATTGTGAAATCTGAGGGGAATACTACGTCTATTCCAAACATTTTTGCACAAGCCTTTAAGTTATGGGAAACCCAGTGGAAATACTGGATCCCAGCTATTCTTCCTTTTTTGTTCCTTTTGCTGGTGGCCAACTTTAAGTTTGAATTCCAATTGCCTTTTCATGAATTACTCTCTCTAACCTGCAGCTTCTAGCCTCATCCATTTTCCTTTTACTGCATTGCTTATAATATGAGTGCACGATTTGCGCAGCGCGTTTGTTATTATGATTTAGCCAATCCTGCTTTTAGGGACTTAGCGTGAGAACTACTTCTAGTTAACACCGGTTTTGCGGCTTCTTTCCTGTACTTCCAGCAAAGGCCCTGTTCTACACGTATGCGTAAATTAAAAAATTGCAGGATCCCATCTTCAGGTTCTTTCAAATCGCAAATAAAGATGTCATCAACGTGAGGTACCGTTAATAAATAAATAAACAAAAATAGTGAAAACGGTTTTTCGCTAACACCGCTCGGGGATTCTTTTAGGCTTCAGGTTGGCCTAAAGAGCATGCCAAGCCCTCTATCTGCGTC